GTTACCCCGACTAGGCCGCAGCATCCACTGGTATGCATGAGGACTGGGTCTGTGGAGGACTGACTGAGCTGGACAGCAGCGCCTGTCAGCTTGTGTGAGATATGCAGCTGGGGCAGAACTGAACAGACAGCTGCATCCAACAGTACATGCTTTGGCTGGTGCAGCTGATAGACTCCATCCGATTTTGTACTGGCTGATACACATGAGTCAAGTTAAAAATAAACTTTAAAAAAATTAAAAATGATATCTTTATAAAGAATTGTGAGTGGAAATATAAAACAAATATGTAGAATTAATACTGATAGGGCCTGGCAAGATGGCTTAACTGGCTAATCCTTCCCTTGTATGCACTAGGATCCCATATAGGTACTGGTTCATGTCTTTGCTGCTCCACTTCCCATCCAGCTCCCTGCTTGTAGCCTGGGAAAGCAATCGAGGATGGCTCAAAGCCTTAGGACCCTGTACCTGTGTGTAAGACCCTGGAGAAGCTCCTGGCTCCTGGCTTCAGATTGGCTCAGCTTTGGCCACTGCAGTTTTTTGGAGAGAGAACCAGTGGATGGAAGATCTTTCTCTGTCCCTCCTCCCTGTAGATCTGCCTTTCCAATAAAAAGAAATGAATCTTTTAAAAAGGAATACAGTGTAAAATGTAGGGAAAAATTTAAAAAATCAATTTTCTTTGTCTTCCCCAATTTACTAGGATAAAGTCAGCATCTCGTAGTCTCAACTCACCAGTCTTGCATTTTTTCATTTGAAAGTGTCTCCTGGACACCTATTTTTTTTTAAGATTTATTTATTTTTTTATTGGAAGGGCAGATTTTAAAGAGAAAGAAGGACAGATAAAGAGAAAAGATTGTCCATTCACTGATTCACTCCCCAAGTGGCTGTAACCACCAGAGTTAAGCAGATCCAAAGCCAGGAACCAGCATCTTCTTTTAGGTCTCCCACATGGGTACAGGGTCCCAAGGACCTGAGTCATCCTCCACTGCTTTTCCAAGTCATGAAAAGGGAGCTGGATGGAAAGTAGAGAGGCCAGAGCATGAACTAACTCCCATAAAGGATGCTGGTACTTGGAGGTGGAAGATTAACCAATTGAGCCATTGCATGCCCCCTTCCCACAAAATAAATCTTAAATGAAAGCATGCAGAGAGCAATCAGCCCCAGGTGAACACAGAGGAGGATAATATCATTTTCAACCATTTCAAACACCTGCGACTCCTACCTGATTTCATTTCCAAGAGAGTGTTGTGATCGATTTCATGGTTAGCTCTTCCCGGCTGAGGCACCCGCAGTGGTATGATCTGAGGGACACACACTGAACCAGCAGTCATTTTCTTTCCTGACATCAAGAACATCAGAGAATAAGACATCCCAAGAGGCACCAGTATCTAAACACAAAAGCCAAGGCACCCTGCCTCATATAAACGCAGCAAAAATAATAAAATAGAAAGCAAAAACTGTTCCTGTGCCACCTGCAAATCGTATTCAGTGTTTCAAAGATTTTGTTGCTTTTAATTTTTTTTTAAGAAATTTTTTTGGAAAAGACAGATTTATGGAGAGGAGAGATAGAAAGATCTTCCATCCGCTGATTCACTTCCCACATGGCCACAACTACCAGAGCAGAGCCGGTCTTACATGTGGGTGCAGGGTCCCAAGGCTTTGGATCATCCTCCACTGCTCTCCTAGGCCATTGGCAAGGAGCTGGATGGGAAGTGAAGCAACTGGGACACGAACCAGCGCCTACTTGGAGTGTTGGCATTTCGAGGTGGAGGATTATTTGGTTGAGCCATCGCACTAGACCCATATTATTCAAATTTTAATTGAAATTATTATGTGAACTGTATCTCTGTTGCCAAGGCCTTGAATGGCTTAACTCAGGGTAGGAAAGGCCATTTGCTTTGTTCCTGCCAAAGTAATCACAGGCAAGATTCAAAAATCAAATAGTAAGCTAATTTATTAGAGTTGATAATTTTGCTTGGGCCATAAACAATGTTATAAATATACAAATGGTCCTTGGCAGAAGAAAAATTGCTCACCCCTGAAAATTAAATAAGGCAGAGGCTGGCATTGTGGCACAGTTAGTTAAGCCAGTGCCTATGACATCAGTAACAGAGTTCCAATTTGAGTCCTGGCTTCTCCATTTCCTTTTTTAAAGATTTATTTTATTTTTATTCAAAAGGCAGATATATAAAGAGAAGGAGAGACAGAGAAGATCTTCCATCCATTGATTCACTTCCCCAAGTGGCCGCAACTGAGTCAATCCAAACCCAGGAGCTAGGAACTTCCTCCAGGTCTCGCACGTAGGTGCAGGGTCCCAAGGCTTTGGGCTGTCTTCCACTCCTTTCCCAGGCCACAAGCAGGGAGCTGGATGGGAAGCAGGGTTGCTGGGATTACAGCCGGTGCCCATATGGAATACTGGCACGTGCACAGCAAGGACTTGAGTCACTAGGTTACCACGTCGGGCCTAGGCTGCTCTATTTTCAAGCCAGCTCCCTGGTAAAGCTACTGGGACAGCAGTAGGAGATGGCCCAAATACCTGAGCTCCTGTTACCCATGTAGAGATCCCAATGGTGTTCCAGGCTCCTGGCTTCTGCCTGCACAGCCCTGACCACTGTAGCATTTGGGTAGTGAATCAGAAAATGGAAGACCTCTTTCTCTTTGTGTCGTCACATCTCTGTCACCGCCTTTTAAAAGAATAAACCTTAAAAAGACGAATGAGGCAAAGCAAAAAGCATCACTGATGTTCCAAAGGGTCATGTAGAACATACCCTTTCCTGGAGCGGTTTAGTCTGCAGCCGTTTTTTTGGCCGGAGGACAAAGGCAACAAAAGGATCTCAGGATGGGTGCAATGTTCATTGGAAGCTACTCCTCTGGGAGAGCTCCAGATCCTTGGCCCTGAGATTGTCACAATTCCATCTGAAAGCTGCAGAGACATTTTAGGGTTGCAAAGTATCAGTTCTCAGCAGAAAGAAAGTTGGCACAGATTTTTTAAAGCACCCAACACATGTTTCTTAGTCAATCTACTACAATGATAAACCACTACCAGTATGGAATCCTTATTGGTCTCTTTTTTGCTCAAGGAATGGTTCTTTTTTTTTTTTTTAATGCATGAGTTTTAGGGCAAAAACATCCCTCATGGTAACAGAGAAACCATTTACATCTCCCATTACCTTTTCAAATTTCACTGACTATGGATACATAGGTTTCAGTAATCTACAACCTCCACATTTATTCAACATTTGCAGCCTGCTTCTTGCACTTCCATTGTGTTATCTACAATTTCTCGTGTGTTCATATGTCCTTTTGAGAACTCAATTTACAGTTTAGGCTATTCCTAGTTTCTTTTATCGCAATTTTCTTCTGCTTCTGGTTGTTGCAATTCTTGTAAGAAATCCTTATTGGCTCATTCGTTTGTTTTTATTGTAAATGCAGATCAGATTAATGGAGAGAAGGAAAGACACCCACCCATCCCAGACCGTGCAAATGGCCACAACAGCTGGAGCTGAGCTGATCCGAAGCCAGGAATCAGGAGCTTCTTCTGGGTTTCCAAAGTGTGTACAGGGTCAAAGGCTTTGGGCGATCGGCTACAAACAGGGAGGTGGATCAGTTGCTGGGACACGAACCAGCGTCCATATGGAATGCTGGTGCTTGCAGGCAGAGGGTTAGCTAGTTGAGCTACTGAGATGACCCCTGATTGTTATAATTCTAATAGTCCTGCTCTGGGCATCCTCTACGCAGGAGTGATACCAAACACTGTATTCTACAAAATGGAATAACTAAGGGTCAGTGTTGTGGTGTAGCTCATTCAGTCTCCACCTGTGAAGCCAGTATCTTTCGCAGCTACCCATTCAAGTTCCAGTTGCTCCACTTCCCATCCAGCTCCCTACTTGTGGCCTGGGAAAGCAGTGGAAGACACCCCAGAGCCTTGGGACCCTGCACCCACGTGGGAGACTCTTGGCTCTTGGCTTTGGACCTGTCGTTGGGGCCATTTGGGGGTTGAAGCAGTGGATGGAAGATTCTCTCTCTTTTTCTCTTCCTCTCTAACTCTGCCTTGTTAATAATAATAACAATAGAAAAGCTAAATGTAATGTCTTTGCTGTACAGCTCCCAGATCGAGAGCCAAAAATACAAATGTAGATACAGCTATCGCCCCTGGAGATGTGCAGCTGGACTTGGGGCAATGGTCCATAGTCCCATTTCCATTCAAATGAGGATATAGTTAAAATTTGAAAAACTTGTTAGGAATGAAACTATCCAGGGAGGCAGTCACACGTGGCGACCAATGGCTGTCCTTGGGAGGTCCTTGGGAGTCTGGGCCGGCCAATGGGGCCTCGTAAATAGGACAAAGAATAAGGTCGACCAGCTGGGTGTAAACGGAGGCGTCGGTCCTCAGCACCTTACAGTCACCCACTCTTTGCTCCCTCCCCTGGGACCGCCTCCTCGCCCTCCCGAGCCAGAACCCCGCTGCTCCCGGCTCTCTCCCTCAAGGATAGCCAGGGACGTGGACATCCCTTAGGCTCTTTCTCCTCCTCCTCCTCCTCCTCCAGCCAACAAGACTGAGACCAGAACCAAGCACCTGCGCCTCCCACAGCAGGGCCCCCTGCCACCGCTCACCGCTTCGCTCCCTTTCTTCTCCCCGGCCCAGGTTACCACAGACGCTGCGAGCTGCGCCCCGCCCACTGAAAGCTCAGCCGCTGATTGGCGAAAATTCGGCTCCCTAGCAACTACCCCCGCCCCTGCCCCTTAGGGGCGACCCATTCGTGCCTGAAGAACCTTCCCTTTCGGCGTCCAAAAATATGCCTTCCTTCTCTGAGGGTGCAAAATATGAAAACATGGTTTCTCAGAGTTACAAGGAAGGAACCAGGCCCTTTCATCCCACAGACAGGCATCTTCTAGAAAACAAGAACCACAAGCTGTAAAGACGCAGGCACGAGTGTTGGAACAGGCGCGATTTGGCCACCCCAACCTGACAAGGAAGGACCGGCTGCGACACGAGGAAGGCGGCCCCTGAAGCTCTGCCCTGTGCTGTTTTCCTCGGGCGGCTGGCTTCCCTGGTCGTTCGCTCGCCCGCGCTGTGTGTGCCTTTTTCCCCCGAGGGGTCGGGGGCTGCACCGTCATGGCGGAGGTGAAGGTGAAGGTGCAGCCGCCTGACGCGGACCCCGTCGAAATAGAAAACAGGTGAGCGGCGCGAGATGCCTGGTTGGCGGTCAGGCATTTGGGCGGCGTGATTCCTTCTCAGGACGCCTACAGAGGACAGGACAGAACAGAACTGGGGGAGAGAGAGAGGAAATCTTCCGTCCACTGATTCACTGTGCAGATGCCCACGAGGGCTGAGGCTGGGTCAGTTTCCCAGGCCATTAGCAGCGAGCTGGATGTCAAGTGGAGCAGCCGGGACGTGAACCGGTACGCACAGGGGATGCCGGCGCCACAGGGTGAAGGACTTGCCTGATGCACCACCACATCGGGCTCCGTCCCCCCCTAATTTTTTTTTTTTTGGCTTCAGGCCCGGACATTGTGGCATAGCAGGTAAGGCTGCCGGTTGGGATGTCACCATCTTAGGCGCAACAGGTTAGTGTCCTGGCTGCTCCACTTCCAATCCAGCTCCCTGTTAAGGACACCTGCAAAAACAACAGAAGGTGGCCCAAGTACGTGGGCCTCTGACACCCATGTGGGAGAGCTGAAAGAAACTGCTGGCTTTGGGCAGCCAGCACTGGCTGTTTTCGCCGCGAGAGTACTGAACCTGTGAATAGAAGATCTGTCTCCCTCTCGCTCTCTAACCCTGCCTTTCGAATAAAAAGGATTTGGCTTCCTGCTGCCACTCTGTGCTTGGCTTTCTCGCAGAGCGACTCCACCTCGGCTCCTCTTGTCTGGAAAAGTTGATGTCTTCGCTGCAAAACGTTCTTCTGTGTTTTTACTAAACTTTTGTTTTAATTGAAAGTTCATCTTGGGCCTGGTGCGGTGGCCTAGTGGCTAAAAGTCCTCAGCTTGAATGCACCAGGATCCCATATGGATACCGGTTCTAATGCCAGCAGCTCCACTTCCCATCCTGCTCCCTGCTTGTGGCCTGGGAAAGCAGTGACATTCGACCCAAAGCCTTGGGACCCTACACCTGCATGGGAGACCTGGAAGAAGTTCCTGGCTCCTGGCTTCACATTGGCGCAGCACCGGCCGTTGCGCTCACTTGGGGATTGAATCATCGGATGGAAGATCTTCCTCTCTGTCTCTCCTCCTCTCTGTATATCTGACATTGCAATAAAAATAAATAAATAATTCTTTCAAAAAAAGAGAGAGAGAAAGTTCATCTTGGTGAAGGAAAGAGATACCGCCCTTAAAATAATACTAATAATGTGAATATATATTCAGATAGCATCGACCTCAGTTTCTATCGTACGCATGTTCCAAACTAGGTAGAAACCTGGATTAACTGACAGATGTAAATAACAGAACAGAAACTGTGGCTTATGTGTCTTTGGAAAGTAGGGAAGGGTGAGCCCACTGTGCCTGTGTTTCCAGGATTATAGAGTTATGCCAGCAGTTCCCGCATGGAATCACAGACCAGGTGATTCAGAATGAAATGCCTCACATCGAAGCCCAGCAGAGGGCGGTGGCCATCAACAGACTCCTGTCCATGGTAAGGTGACTCCAGCCAGTTCCCGTGATTCCTTGTCGATAGGGTTAGGGTCCCTCAATCTGAAACACCTTGGATCAGAAATGTCTCAGGTCTTGTAGTTGCTGGGACTTTGGAATATTTCCACGTACACTAAAGGCTGAGCTAAGCTGCAGATCCAGAGCACTCCAGGATCTGAAGCTTTGGAGCCTCCAGTGGGCACTCAGAAGGTTTCAGGACTTGGAGTGTTTTGGATTCTGAATTAGGGATAGTCGAGCTGTGTGGAGTCATCAGTGTTTTGATGACGGAGTTATGGCTCCTGTTACGTAGCGACGTGACTTGAGGATGGGACTGCCAGAGGTTCGGCCTGACACTGTTCTGGAAACAGTTAGCGTTGAGCTTGGTGAGGTGAGGAAGCAGGGACCCTGCTCCTGGTGGGGAGCCCTGCAGTCCCCCGAGGGCCTGAGGAGGACACAGAGGTGGAGGACGGTGGATGTCGCCATCCGTCCTCCCCTGCCTCCTGGACCCTGCTGCTTGTCAAGCCTTAGCCTGGCATCCATGCTGGTGGCTCTCAGGCCTTGGAGCCACTCCCTGCTGCTTCCCAGGCCTCTAGCCCGTTGTGGAGGGCACACCACGGGACTGCGCATGGTGTGACTTGATACCTTGAAGTGAGTCTCTTCCAGTGAGAGATGAGAGAGTGTGTTTTCTGTCGGTTCTGTTTCTCAGGAGAACCCTGATACAGTAACCCAAACCAAATGTGTTCAGACCAGGAAACACCTCAGACTGCCCTAAGGGAGGAGAGGTGAAATGATGATGCATCGTGGTACAAGATGAACCAACCACAGTTGGATTTGTCATCCTAATTGGTACACAAGGGCACACGGGCATAGCCGTTCTTGGCTTCGGTTTGCTTCTTGCTGCTGGTGCCTGGCTGTTGCCCATGAAGCGTCTCTCCCTGAGCTTTCTGAGTCATCCCAGAGCACCTCCATCAGGCCAGCCCTCTCTCCTCTGCCGCTCTGAGCTTTTCATGGACCAGGACCAGGTCTAATTGAACCTCAGCTGTGCCTGGCCTGCAGCAGTAGTGGTTATATAGAATGCACTCAAATTGTTTTCTGCCGTGTTTCTGAAATCCCTTGGTTGGGAACTTAAGAGAACCCCAAAGGTGGTCCCACTGGGCTCCTGACAGTTGGGGAGTTGTGGCTGAGAGGGAACCCTGTTTCCATGTGTTAAGATTGGACAGATAAGTGCCAGTCTATAGGCCAAGATGTGTATCAGGTGAGAGCTGACAGTCGCTGTGGGAGGTAGACTCTTTCAGTTTGTATAATGAAAATATGAAAAGTCACTGGGTTTGTTTCCAATATAACTGACTCTTGTTTTCTATTTAAAAAAAAACAAACACTCTAGGGCCAATTGGATCTCTTACGGAGCAACACAGGCCTTTTATATAGAATAAAGGACTCTCAGAATGCTGGGTAAGCACCTGTTTTTTAAGCGTAAGAGCATATTAATGAAAACCAAAATAATAGATGTGTTAGGAGGAGGAGTTCATGCAGAAGTGCATAATGCGAACCTGTTCTGCGTCTCATTGCCCACTGCTGTCCTGAACTCCACTGCCCAGGTGGACTGCTCCTAGTAGTGTGCTGTATACACGTTCTTCTAGCTATATATAAATACACATAAGTGGTTATCTACTCACATACTTTGTATTTATATATAATCTTTTTTAAAGAAACAAAAATGGGGTCATGCTATCCATACTGTTGTGTAACTTGTTTTTTTCACTTACTATATCTTGGACATCTTTTCATGTTGGTACATACAGCTCTGTCTCATTCTTTCTAAGGTAAGCCTTTCTTTTGGTCAATAAGTCAGTGTGTTGACGTTGTCTGCTCATTCATTGAAGTAGTGATGTAGAGTCTTAGATTGCCCCGTACCCCTCTGCCTTCTTCATTCTGCTTTATTCCCCTGCAGTAAAATGAAGGGGTCGGATAACCAAGAAAAACTAGTCTATCAAATCATAGAGGATGCAGGAAATAAAGGTAAGTATGTGAGGCCTACTCCCGGGCGCTGAGCTCCTGGCCTCTCAGGGGACAGCAGACTAGTCTGCTGCCCTTTGTGTTAAAGGGGGGACACACAGCATACCTGTCAGATGCGAGGCAACACCCAAGACCTTGCCAGTGCTACCTAGGGGTCGGGGGGAAGCAGGGGTTAGATGGTGATGGCTTCTCCTTTGGCTCTGTGAGTGGTGATGTGTGGCCCCAGCTCTGGTTCTGGCACGGACCACAGGGAAGCCAGGTAGGCACATCAGGGCCGTCCTGCAGTGTGTGCTTCCACAGCTGTGGCTTCCTTCTCCCCCAGAACTGTGGCAAGACTGTCGTTATTCTCATCTCCAATCTCTTGAGTCATTGATACTAGCTTGAGATATGTGATTGAAACTGTATGATTAAGTTTTACATTAACATTTTATATGAGATTTATTTATTTGTTTATTTATTTATTTATTTATTTTTGGAAAGTCAGATTTACAGAAAGGAGAGACAAAGATCTTCCATCTGCTGGTTCACTCCCCAAGTGGCCACAGTGGCCAGAGCTGAGCTGATTCAAAGCCAGGAGCCTCTCCAGGTCTCCCACATGGATGCAGGTCCCAAGGCTCTGGGCCATCCTCCGCTTCCTTCCCAGACCACAGTCAGGGAGCTGGATGGGAAGTGAAGCAGCTGGGACACAAACCAGCACCCATATGGGTTTATGGTGCATGTAAGGCGAGGACTTTAGCCACTAAGCTACAGCACTGGGCCCCTCGTAGATTATCATTTTAGAAATAATTTTATGAGAAACATATTCTCTGTATTTAAAAAAAAAAAAGAAAGGAAGAAAATTTCCTATTTCATTCTATTTCTACATTGGAAGCAAAGCCAAGTATTTTCCACATATCCACATAGCTTTAGGACTGTGGGCCTCATGGGCTTATTTGCAGTATTCAGCTGCAGTGTTACGTGGTGAATGAATGCACGTGCCCAAAGCTTCCGCTGCTCACAGCGGGGCACGGTCACTGACCTGCGCGGGCTTAACTTTGCTGTTCACATTGACAACCCGGAGTGACAATGTCGCAATACACAAGGCAGTGGCAGAGATGACAGTTCAGTAGCATTCAGTATGAAAGTGCCCTTTCTATTATTTTTTTTTTAAAGATTTATTTACTTTTATTACAAAGTCAGATATACAGAGAGGAGGAGAGACAGAGAGGAAGATCTTCCATCCGATGATTCACTCCCCAAGTGAGCGCAACGGCCGATGCTATGCCGATCCAAAGCCAGGATCCAGGAGCCTCTTGCGGGTCTCCCACACGGGTGCAGGGTCCCAAAGCCTTGGGTGTCCTTGACTGCTTTCCCAGGCCACAAGCAGGGAGCAGGATGGGAAGTGGAGCAGCCGGGATTAGAACCGGCGCACATATGGGATCCTGGCGCGTTCAAGGCGAGGACTTTAGCCACTAGGCCACACCGCCGGGCCCTCTATTATGTTTTAAAAAATTCCAAGAAATTTGCTGTTGAGGTCAAGCATATGACTAACTCATGGTTTTGCATCGTGCAGGGCTCTATGCAGGGGTCTCGGGCTCCGCGTCCCTGGGTTTTCCTGTGACCTGTTTACATAGTTTGTGGGAGGATTTATTGTCAACTTTGCATAGCAAGTTTGCTGGTGATGTGAGGCAAGGGGTGAAAATCAAAATCCATGAACTGCAACATTCAGCTTATGTTTCTTTTCTTATAGGAATATGGAGCAGAGATATCCGATATAAAAGTAACTTGCCATTAACAGAAATCAATAAAATTCTAAAGAATTTGGAAAGTAAAAAGCTTATCAAAGCTGTTAAATCTGTCGCAGTGAGTAATTTTTCTTTGCCCGCATGCTCATTTTTATCTGTTGCCATGATCTACAGCTGCTGGTTAAAAAGACTTTGTAAGCCTTTAGCTCATAATAGATTGGTTTGGAGATACTGCTTAGATTTGTCACTAAATGCTTAATTTTTGGTGTCTTGCCCATTCGAAAATCTAAGACGACTTCACTCTCCTCGGTGAAGCCTTTCTGGAGTCCTAAGCCGTTTTCCTGGTCCCCAGATGTGTAAGAGATGGATGTGGCTGTCTCAGGGCGCAGTCAGCTGCCGAGTGATGACGATGCGCAGACACTGGGTGCTCAGGTGTGCGCAGGTGCAAATCCCAGAGTCCTGGGAGAGCTCCCAACCCGGGCCGCACCCGTGCCTCCTCCCCACCTCCTCATGGATAGACGTGAGTCGCCCTCACTGCTGAGTGAGTCTGCAGAGTCCTGGGAGAGCTCCCACCCCGGGCCGCACCCGTGCCTCCTCCCCACCTCCTTCTCATGGATAGACGTGAGTCGCCCTCACTGCTGAGTGAGTCTGCAGAGGCTGTGTACTGCATGATGTTTGTTTTTTTGTTGTTTTGTTTTGTTTTTAAGATTATTTTTATTGCAAAATCAGATATACAGAGAGGAGGAGAGACAGAGAGCAAGACCTTCCCTCTGATGATTCACTCCCCAAGTGATCGCAATGGTCGGTGCTGCGCCGATGCGAAGCCAGGAGCCAGGAACTTCCTCCAGGTCTCCCACGTGGGTGCAGGGTCCCAAGGCTTTGGGCCGAACATCACTGCTTTCCCAGGCCACAAGCAGGGAGCTGGATGGAAAGCGGAGCTGCCAGGATTAGAACCGCCGTCCATATGGGATCCCGGCAATGTGTTCAAGGCGAGGACTTTAGCTGCTAGGGCACGCCGCCGGGCCCTACATGATGTTTTTTAAAAGAGAAAACTATAGACACGGTATTAAAAAAAAAAAAAATTGGGGGTCCTGGTGCAGTAGCCTAGTGGCTAAAGTCCTCATCTTGCATGCATCAGAATCCCCTGTGGGTGCCAGTTTGTGTCCCGGCTGTTCCACTTTCCATCCAACTCTGCTTGTGGCCTCTATCTCCCTCTCTGCAAATCTGCCTTTGCAATTAAAAAAATAATACTAAGTCTTTTTTTATTTTATTTTATTTTACAAAAAAAAGTAAGTTTTTTTTTAAAAAAAAAAGCCCCGGGGCTAAGGATGACTGGTGGGGAAAGGTGAAAGGTGAAAGGGCAGCAGGTATTTTAGGGCAGAGAAGCTTTCTTTTTTTTGTTTGTTCAATTTTTTTTTCCCATATTGTTTCCTTCATGTTTAAAGGGGGTATTAAGGGAGAAGGCCCACCCAATTTCCCACCCTCCCCAGGTCCTGGATGTAGGGTATGCTCTGAGGTTCTTGCTCAAGTGATTTTGATATTTCAAGAGTTATGAATCGCTGCCAATCTTGCCACTCCAAGCACTATGAGGTCTTTGAAAAATGCACTGATTGACATAGTCCATCATAGCTGAGATGGTTGGTTGACCTGTTCTGTCTTCTCTCTCTTCTTGGTTAGGGTTCTGAGTCCAGCATTTAGATTAGGAAGATCTCCAAAGAAACTTCTTGTATGTGCTAGCAAGTACAGGGCCTGGCACCGTCCATCGCCCTGATCAGCTGGTGGTTGTAATTGCTGGGTTGGTTCTGTTTTCACTTCCACTGGAACCAATGGGTGTTGCAGTCCAGCCTGGTTCTGCCCAGCACATACTTGGCCCTCACATAAACCAGTGGGAGCTGCAGCCTAGTTGGAGTGACCCGCAGTAACCCCCACCAGGCCCGCCCCCTACCCGGGTTTGCCAGTAAGTGTAGCAGTAATCCAGTCTGTCCCACACCCCATTCCACCCCAGCCGCTGTCTTAGTTTTACGTCCTCCCGTGGAAGTGGTAACCCAAGAGGGATGAGCCCGTTATTTTCCTCCCAGGCCTTTCCCACTCCCAGATTCCAGCTGATGCTTTGGCTAAGCCCAAACAACCCTCGCCCTTGCCCACTCTAATTTTGCTTGCACCAGTAGGAATAATCAGCCCAGCCTGGCTTTTCCCTGATCCAGGCCACATGAGGCGCACAGGTGTGGTAGCCCTGCCTAGTCTGGTCTAGGGCAGAGAAGCTTTCATATTATGTTGGCATTGAGGATGTATCAGAAGCCACAGCACAAAGAGCAAATCTTTATGTGCATGAATTTTTTTAAACGTCATTTAGGAAGTAGAACGAGCATAGAGTGGAATGCAGAATGTAACAAGTTAAATTTTTGGACCCGGCGTGGTGGCCTAGCGGCTAAAATCCTCGCCTTGAAAATGCCAGGATCCCATATGGTCGCCGGTTCTAATCCCAGTAGCCCTGCTTCCCATCAAACTCCCTGCCTGCAATCCCAGTAGCCCTGCTTCCCATCCAACTCCCTGCCTGCTTGTGGCCTGGGAAAGCAGTCGAGGATGGCCCAAAGCCTTGGGACACTGCACCTGCATGGGAAACCTGGAGGAAGTTCCTGGCTCCTGGCTTCGGATTGGCTTAGCACTGGCTGTTATGGTCCTTTGGGGAATGAATCATCGGTCGGAAGATCTTCCTCTCTGTCTCTCCTCCTCTCTGTATCTACCTTTGCAATAAAATAATAAATAAATCTTTAAAAAAATTAAATTTTTTAACAACTGCAGGGAAGAACTTCACTGGAGAGGCACCAGCCTTAGTAATGTGGCAGTGAGAGACAACCATTAGATGAAGGCAAAGGGGCAGTGGATATGAGAACAGCACCCAGGGCAACCACATTGTTCTTGAGGATCTCAGTTAGTCATTCTGCTGCCACTTCTCATAGCCCACCGGAAGGGAGCACTCATGCAAATGAATGGGAGTGGCTGGCTGCAGTGCAATTCCAACAGTAGGTACTCAGCGCAGGTGCTACTGATCAAAGGCAAAGTGCTGCCCTCACTTTAGGCAACTATCACAGTTCATGGTCCCCTGAACACCATGTCTTGACCATCTAGTGACAAGTTTAGGGGCTCCCATGACTTGTACAGGTTTAATAATTTGGTGGAATGACACAAAATCCACGAAAGCACCACACTTACCGTTACAGTCTTGTTACAAAAGATACAAGAAACCAGTTAATTGAAGAGCTAGCAAGGTCGGGGAGGGGCCAGGACGCCTCCATATCCTAGGATGCATCACCTTGCTGGCGCATGGATGTTTGATTCCCAGCAGTGGAAGTACAGCTACATTTCCGTGTCCCAAGGTTTAGGGATTTTTTTTTTGACGGGGGTGGGTGGTTCATTACGCAGGCATGATGGAATCCTTGGCCACATGATTGAGCTCTGTCTCCAGTCCGCTTTCCCTCTCAATTAGTTGGGCTGATGTCCTGTGGCTAAAAGCGCACGTGGTGGTGGTTCTCGGCATGGAGAGCTCCTGGCCTGAGACTCAGGGCCTGCCATGCATCACCTTGTAAAAGGTCTACCCACGAGGGCTCCCAGGGCCCAAGATGAGTGACAAGCATCTTCTTGTTGAGAATTTCCAGAGGTGGAGTGGCCGGCACCCAGGAGCCAGGGTCAACGGCCATTGGTCTTTGTTAAACAGTAATGGATTCAGGTTTCTCACTGTTGGACTGGGAGTTACAGGTAAACGAGGGGAGGAGGCTGCCGTGGTTCAAGTGGAAGTGGATGAGAGTCTGTGCTCTTACATGAGAAGTCATCACAGCCAAAAGGAGGCTGAGAAGAGGTGACGGCAGCATGCGATGCGGTGTCCCGCATGGAGAGAAGAGGGACACGAGGGAAAGTTAATAATAGCTAAGTAGAATATAGGCTGCAGTTGATAATGATGAGTCCCGACTCTGATTTTAAGCAGAATCCCACACTCGTCCATGGTGAAGATAGGACTGTTTTGTTTTATTTTCTCCTAGGCCTCAAAAAAGAAGGTGTATATGCTCTATAACCTGCAGCCGGACCGGTCCGTCACTGGCGGGGCTTGGTACAGTGACCAGGATTTTGAATCAGAATTTGTAGAGGTGCTTAACCAGCAGTGCTTTAAATTTCTACAGAGCAAGGTAAGGCATAATTGAGGAAAGATCATCACAAATATTTTCTGTTTTTTTCAGAGTGTTTTTGATCTTGTATGTCATATTCTGGCGGACTGAAAATACAGACATGGATCATTATAATACATTTTGTGCTGCTGATGGGTGAATTCAGGAACCATTTCCCATAATTCTTGCTCTCCCCCTTGCATTTCAATCCCAATAGGCAGAAGCAGCACGAGAAAGCAAACAGAATCCGATGATCCAAAGGAACAGTTCGTTTGCTTCGTCACATGAAGTGTGGAAGTACATCTGCGAGCTGGGGATCAGTAAGGTCGGAACTCCACTTCTCCTCATAGTTCACAAAGGCCTTCTTCCTGTCAGGACACGCTCGGCTGTGTTCCACACGCACTAGTTCAGGCCCCTGTCCGTATCCTGGCTGTGAGTACTGCCGTCCTGCACGCCTTGCTCCCCGCTCTGGGGTTGGAGCTGCACTACACTGAATGACCCGAATCCAAAAACTGGAAGTTCTTGACTTTGTAAGGGACATTTCAGTGTATTTGCATATCGGCACTCTGGCATCAGTTGGCCTTTATGGGTGTGTTTGTAGGCGGTGCCATCCCCAAGGGCCCTGCTGCTTTCCTCAATCTGCAGCCGAGGCTGAGTGGCATTTCCACAGTCATTTCCATTCCTCCGGTCACAGGTTTCTCAGAAGGAACCAGGACCTTGGCACTGTTTGAAGTCCAGAATGCTGTCTCCGTATTTTATCAGATGTCAATCTAATGTTCGCCAGAGGAATGTTTTTATACATACATACATATATATATATAATTTTTTAAATATATATAATGATTACATGGTTGATCAGGGAAGGAAGGATTGAGGTTTAGGGAAAATTGGGTGAAGGAATGTTATTTTTTAAGTGTGTACATTTTAGTTGAAGACAGCACAAAGCATCAGACCTCACACGAGGAAACACGTCTGCTTAGCGCGTGCGTGGTTTGTGCACACTTGGACCGTCCTTCAGTCACCCCTTCTCCAGCCCCCTGCTGCCTGTGTCACCAGATTCAGAACACCCTGCCTAAGGATGTGCCCCAGCCCTCTGTGTCCTTGTAACACAGCCCTTTTGTAGGTAGAATTGTCCATGGAGGACATTGAAACCATCTTGAACACCCTCATTTATGATGGAAAAGTGGAGATGACGATCATTGCCGCCAAGGAAGGCACAGTTGGCAGCGTGGAAGGCCACATGAAGCTGTACCGGGCAGTCAGCCCAATCATCCCGCCCACAGGGCTGGTGCGGACACCCTGCGGGCTCTGCCCGGTGAGTGCGGAGGGCTGGAGGCCGCCCGTGACCTTGACTCTCACCAGATGGGAATGACCGAGAGAGTAGGCCATCCAGCTTTCTCAGAGTGTTCTTTCAAGTGCAGATGTTAATGCTGCTTTAAGTAAGTGGTTGGGTCATGAATATTTTAAAATGTAATAACAGCATTTTTTTTCCTCTTTATAGGTTTTTGATGATTGCCATGAAGGTGGTGAAATTTCGCCATCTAACTGTATTTACATGACAGAATGGCTTGAATTTTAGGAGAGTGACAGATTTGACTGACATTGTGCAAGTGAAGTTCCTTTGGGAGCAGATAATCGAATTCATGATGAAACAGAAGATTTCCCTGAAAGTAAACTTCACAGTAATGCATACAGATCTGCTGCTATGGAAATTATATTTTTATTTGTGAAGACTGAATTTATATTGGTGAAGTGGCCAACACGGAAGAGATAAAACTCACAGTAAAATTCTTTGCTGAACATAACACTTTGAAACTGGAGAACTATATTTTTTGAAGTTTTCAGACTTTTTGATGGTTCGAAGAAAGAAGTCAAATCCATAATGACCAAGTATTCTGCTAATAACTAGAGCATGTAGGAGTTCATTTTACAGTATTTATTAAAACTTCCTTTGGAAATTTTGTGATCTGGCTCAGTAACACCATTTCTGTTGTCTGTTTCTTAATGATTTCGTTAAGAAAAAAAAATTAAGGATCTGGCACGGTAGCCTAGCTGCTTAAGTCCTCTCCTTGCACATGCCAGGATCCCATATGGGTGTCAGTTCTAATCCCGGCAGCCCCGCTTCCCATCCAGCTCCCTGCTTGTGGCCTGGGAAAGCAGTTGAAGATGGCCCAAAGCCTTCTGACCCTGCACCTGTGTGGGAGAAGAGGCTCCTGGCTCCCGTTTTTTTGGTTTTTTGTTTGTTTGTTTTTAAAGATTTTTTTTTTATTACAAAGTCAGATATACAGACAGGAGGAGAAATAGGAAAATCTTCCATCCGATGATTCACTCTCCAAGCAGCTACAACGGCCGGTGCTATGCCGATCCGAAGCCAGGAGCCAAGACCTCAGCTTCAGTCACTAGGCCACACCGCCAGGCCCAGTATCTGGGTTTGGATTGGATCAGCTCCAGCCACTGTGGCCACTTGGGGAGTGAATCATTGGTTCCTGTCTGTCTCTTCTCCTCTCTGTATATCTGACTTTCCAATAAAAAAATTAATAATAAAATAAATCTTTAAAACAAATTAACTGGCGAAGGTAGAAACAATGGGGATACAGATAAACTTTGACCACAGTAGGAGAGGGAGAACAGCGTAGTATCTTGAACTCTGAGCCAATACTCTGGAGTTTCACTCATGTCTTGCCACCCCAGAATGGAAAAGCTTCATTTCAAAGAGTACAACTCCTACAACATAAACCAAAACCTACTTAACTTTGATCTGACAGAAGGAAGGCCTGGTTCCATTCCTGCTGCAGTTGGGACAAGTGCATGTCCTGTACCAGAGGCTACTGAAGCACATGGCAACCAAAACAAACCTTACCAGTTTCTAACAACTGTGAAGTCCCTTTAACTTAACGATTACTGGTGTCCTCATTCTCCCCCACCTTCTCATGTCTAGAATGTGTTACCACTTTAAAATTTAGTTAAAGTGGTATTTCTAATGAAAGGTATGTGTTTTGTTTTTCTTTTAGAAAAGCATGTGTTTAATTATAAAAATGAAGAATGTTTCTTGGGAACTCTGTAAATCCATGTTGTTTTTCCTTCTTATCTCAAAACATTTTTTGGTAGTATGGCTATTATTAGCTGTGGTTGTTATTTTTTCGCTGGTTTCAAAAGCTGCCCATTAAATAATACCATTACTGACGGAAACTTCATGATTAACATTCACACTTGGGCAGGTGCAGAGCTTACTCTAACAAGGCAATGCTGAATTCCTAGGAACTGGCTAGGACTTACAGGCACATCCAAACCTTACTAAACAGGGGCGGCCAGGAGTACATTTATGCTAACACAAATGAGAAGGAACAGAGAAGTGCCTCTTTTTCCTTGCTCTGCTCTGACCTGCCATGGACTTGCTCACTGTGTATGTCAGGCTGAGGATACTCCCGGTTAGTGTGTTTTTGAACAAACATCACATCATCCCGGACACACTGCCTCCTCAGCAGGATCCAGAGACAGCCTTGTGCCTGGAGCCTGGACTCAAGGACTGTATTAAGTACTCTCAGAGGGCGCCCGGTGCAGTGGCCTAGTGGCTAAAGTCCTCGCCTTGCACACGCCGGTATCCCATATGGGTGCTGGTTCTAATCCCAGCAGCGCCACTTCTCATCCTGCTCGCTGCTTGTGGCCTGGGGAAACAGTCGAGGATGGCCCAAAACCTTGGGATCCTGCACCACGTGGGAGTCCTAGAGGAGGTTGCTGGCTCCTTCCTTTGCGCGCGCTGCTTCTCCCACTGCCCTCTCACAACACGGATCACTGTGGGGAGCCCTGGATGTAATGGATGTCTGCCAGCCAGCGAGCCAGCTTCCCCTCTGGTAGATGTCAGCCGGGAGCGCTCTGGCCCGGCTCATTTCTGACTGGTCCTATTAACTCAGATGGGGGTTGGCCCTCTGTTCCACAAGATGGCCCACTTTTCAGACACCACTTTAAGTTCCCATAAGGGTACCAGCTGAGCCCTGGCTGCTCCAGTGGCCATCCTTGCTAAGTACCTGGGAATAGCAGCAGAAAATGGCCCAAGTTCTTGGCTCTCAGCAGCCATTTGGGAGACCAGAAGATGGTCCTGCTCCCGGCTTCAGCCTAGCCCAGGCCTACCCATTGCAGCTCTCTGGAGAGCAAACCAGCAGGTCAAAGATCTTTCTCTCTCTCCTCCTCTCTCTGTAACTTTGACTTTCAAATAAACTTAAAAAAAAAATAATCTAACACATCACATTTAAGATCACAAAAAACGATTTTTTTTCAATAATCATATGATGTTATACATTAATCAAATTTCCTGGCTGGTTGGCTTAAAACTAATTTCTGTGACATGCATATACTTTAAAACTTGGTCCTTATATTAAGTTTTGATAGCAACACCTGGATATGTCCACCCTAATTTTTAAGATTCACTTACTTTTATTGGAAGGGCAGATCAGATTTACAGAGATAAGAAGAGAAAGGGACCAGCACAGTGGCTTAACGGATAAAGTCCTTGCCTCAAACGCACCAGGATTTCATATGGGTGCTGGTTCTAATCACAGCAGCTCCACTTCCCATTCAGCTCCCTACTTGTGGCCTGGGAAAGCAGTCGAGGACAGTCCAAAGCCTTGGGATCCTGCACCCACATGGGAGACCTGGAAGAAGCTCCTGGCTCCTGCCTTTGGATCTGCACAGCTCCGGCCATTGCAGTCACTCGGGGAGTGAATCAAAAGATGGAAGATCTTCCTTTCTGTCTCTCCTCCTCTCGGTATATATGCATTTGCAATAAAAATAAATCATTTAAAAATTTATTTTAAAAAGAAGAGACAAAAAGATCTTCCATTTGCTAGTTCAATCTCCAGATGGCTGCAAAGGCTGGAGAAGAGCTGATCCAAAGCCAGGAGCCAGTAGTTTCTTCCGGGTCTCCCAAGCAGGTGCAGCATCCCAAGGCTTTGGGCCGTCCTCTGTGGCTTTTCCAGGCCACAATCAGGGAGCTGGAAGGCAAGTGGAGCAGCCGGGACAGAAACCGGCGATGGCATGGCATCCTGATGCAAGGTGTGGATTTAGCCATTGAGCCATCGCGTCCCCGCTCCTCCAGCCCCTCGGGCCCCCCAACCTAATTTGAAGCTCATGGTTTCTGCTCGTGCGCTCATTCTGACAGAAAGCGTGAAAACGTGCGGAGGTCGTAAAAGCCGTGTTCGGTGTAGTCCTGAGCGTCCTGCTGACAGCACGAGCCACCACAGCGAGGTGAGCAAGAAACCTCGGCTTCAGAGGAGCCTCCGACACCTGTACCGGCAGGTGCAGCCGCGCCCGCCCTCCGGCAAACACGCATGCGCCACACCCCACGGCGCGCCCACGCCTGCTTCGGCCACTTCCGTCGCATCCGCGGCGCCCCGCCCTCCGAGTCACACGTCATTGTTCTGGCTTCTGGTTGCTAAGGCGCTGAGAGGGATTTCCCATGGATGTCCCATGGTGTGTGGGCGAACGCCGGGGTCGTGCCGGGCAGCGACTATGGGAGCGACTCTGCAAGGTTCTCTGAAGCAGAAACGTTTACGGGAAACTTGAGGCAGCTGTTCCTCCGACGCGGAGGCGTGACGGCCATGCCCGATCCAAGATGACGGCGTGGCTTCCTTAACCGGCGCGCTTCCGCTAGCCCGCACAGAATTCGCTCTTTGATTGGTCAGTGGACGGTTTCCCGGCGTGACGCGCAGGGGCGCTGGCCAATCCGTTGAGAGCTGAGCTGGACTTGGTGGTGGGAGCGAGAACCCAGCTTTTCCAGCTGTGCGTTCCAACGGCTGCGGGCAGGTGAGTGGCGTCGGGGGGTACCGTGGGCGCAGGACAGGGTCCTGGGTGCTGCCAGGGGCGGCGTGGTCTGCCCCAGAGAGGAAACCGGAGAGAATGGATAGCGCACGAGCCGGCTGAGCGTGACGCCGTCGCGCCAGGAGGAGAACAGGTTTTGGGGTTTCCTGAGGCTTCAGAGTTGGGAGAGGGTGTGCGCGCAAGCGGAAGACAGCAGTGGTCCTTCACAGATAAAACTGGATCAGAGGATTCAAAGGCATTCATTCGGCGGGGACCGTCTTCGATGCCCTGCCCCTTGGGAGAATTTGGTATAAGCCCAAACCCATCTCCCTTGTGGAGAGGGGGAGATGACCACTGGGCAGACAAGGTCACAAGTAGTCCCTCTGAAGTGCCGTGTGGTTTGTGCAGGCCCAGGTTAAGAAACTGCCCTGGAGGAGGCAATGGACAATGGGAAGAGCAGGTGTTACTGCGGAGACACCTGGGCCGTGGAGTGGAACCCGTACCGTTAGTAAGGAACTTTCCTGGAGCAGATGGCGGTTATCCGATGAAGATGTGTTTGCTGAGAGCTCTGGTGATCTCCCTTTCTCCTTCCCTGCCCCTAGTCAGAAGTGCCACCTCTGTCCCCTGTGCTCCTGGCTCCGCTTTTGCCATAATCACACTAGGCTGTCTTAGAGACTTGGATGGAGCGAATGTTTGCCGTTCTCGTCATCCGGGTTCCGCGCAGGAGACTAATAATTTCTTGGTTTTTCCAGCCGTGTCATGTTGCCTTAATCAGGATTGTTTACTGCAGGGCCCTTCTGGGAATTGTATGCAGGCCCAGAGTGCGATGGACACTGGCCCACTGCAATAGCGTAATTCTTTCATTTACCTATTTATTTATTTATTTTAGTTGCTGGTTGCCTTGCACCCCGCTGCCTGGGGTGTGTCTTTTAGGGTGTGAACATAAGGTGCTTGAAGCTCCCACTCACATGTTGGAGGCCATCTTTCAGGGTTTCAGTTGGGAATGTGATGTAATGATCAGAGCTTTGTCTTCAGTTCCCTTGCAGACGATGGCAGCCACGTATCTGGAGTTCATTCAGCAGAATGAAGAGCGCGATGGCGTGCGGTTCACGTGGAACGTGTGGCCCTCCAGCCGCCTGGAGGCCACGAGGATGGTGGTGCCCCTGGCCTGTCTCCTAACTCCCCTGAAGGAGCGTCCAGACCTGCCACCCGTGCAGTATGAGCCTGTGTTGTGCAGCAGGCCAACGTGCAAGGCCGTGCTCAGCCCTCTCTGGTAGGGATTTTTTCCCACGTGGGTCTGCTTGCTGAGTACTGTTCGTTACCTACATTTGTGTCACTCTTGAGTAAGTCATCCGATCTGGGTCAGTTGTAGGTTTACATCTGAGGAGCAGGTGGTGAGGTTCTGGGGAGGTGAGAGCTTGTGAAATCTGCCTGGTTAACACTCCAGGTGAGATGGTTCTCCTACTGGCATTGCTGGTCATCCACTTTGCTGCTTATTCATTTGCTTTTGGTTTAGCTGTAGACATCATCTGTGCCTTTTAAAGTTTTTTCAATAAATTTCAAAAGCTTTAGGGCAACATTTCCCGTTTTACCTGTATTGCTGGAAGCACTGGTAAAAAATATTTTAACTCTTAATGATTTTGTTAGTGTAATATTTTTTTTTAAATCTTAAGACTAGTCTATGATTTTTCTCTTATAAGTAGGAGCTATTTGAATTTTGAAGCAGGTGGGAAGTGTACAGTTTTCACGTAAGGAGACCTTTTTCACTTCATTCACCTCTTAATTTAATGCACCCATCTTCAAGAATGCTCCTGCTCTGTTTTTTAATTTGTTAAACATTGGAAGGAGAGGCAAGCCATGAAGCACTATAGACCAAATGTAGGAAATAGTACAGGAACAAGCCTGCCCGCCATTGCTTCAAGTAGGCCACATAAGGCTGAAGCTGAGGCAGTTTGTCCTGTACTTTTCAGTCACATCACATAGCTGAAGTTGAGTTATCGGGAAATGCAGCCTTTTATCACAAAACTAATAGGCAAAAGGAAGTAAATTATATGTGAATCATGAAATTTAAAAAACATTTCCTAGGAACTCAGAAGAATGGAAAAGGCATGTGCTGCTTGTTCAGTGCATCGTTTGGAAGGAGGTGTATTGGTGTGCCAGCGAGCCAGGGTTCCAGCGCAGTGTACACACTGCACACCTTGGCATGGGGCCACGCACTGGAACGTGGCCGTGCTCCTTACTGAGCTTGAAATTTACGTCGAAATGTTTCTCAGCTTACAAATCGGTGTGGAGTGGGTGTTTGGCCTAGCTGATCCAGTGCTCACAGCCTATATGGAGTGTCTGGATCTGGGATCGACTTGCGTCTTCTGACTCCAGCTCCCTGAGAATGTAGACTCTGGGTGTCAGTGGAATGGCTCAGTTGACTGGGTTCCTGCCACCCTGGCCATTTTGGTCATTTGGAAAGAACCAGTGGACAGGAACTCTGTCCCTCCCTGTGTCTTTTCTCAAATAAACATGAAGGACCTAGTTGTGACTTTTTTTGTTTGTTTTTTTGACAGTCAGGTTGATTATCGAGCAAAACTCTGGGCCTGCAATTTCTGTTTCCAAAGAAATCAGGTATGTGAATTATTGTGATGTGTTGGATTATTAGTTGTGCTACTCTGCAAAAGATAAAGTTCTGTGGGGTTGCGTTTGTGTGTCACTCATAATGAGCAGTTTCTGCTGAACTCAAGGTGACAACCTTGGTTAAGCAAATTGACCACTTGTCATTTTTCTCTGGCTGGATCTGTTATTTTGAGTCCTCATCATTTGCATGGAGAAAGTATAGAATTTTCTTTCCTTGCAAGTTTTCGGAAGACAGGAAGTCTGTTACCCTCGTAACAGATGTGTAGCTTGTATATCACTTAATTTCAGTTTATTCCTAGTGGATAGTGGATGTCACTAAATTCTCATTTTCTGATCTTTTAGGACTCCAGGCTCAATATTGAGCTTCTTCTAATTTAAAACTTTTTCAGCTACCAAACTGGGAGCTCACAAATCATGGGAGACTTTTCTTTAAAATTACCTGTACCTGTGATGGTAGTGTTCTCAAACAGGACTGTGGTGGTGGTCACACACCTCTGTGTGTGTTTACTCACAATCAGCAAATTATACACTTCAGATGGGTGAATTTTGTATAAGTTGTGCCTCAAGAAAGCTGTTAGAAAAAAATCATGGACATCCTAATGTACACCATTTGAACAGAGCCTAAACTGTTGCTAGCTTGCATGTATTTATTCATTTATTTGATAAACGTATTCCCAGACATGGACCTAGGCAGTGATGAAGTAGACAATGATCAGTTGTTGACTGACTGCATACTCAGAAAGTAAGAAGATTCCATTCAGTATGTCTCTCCTTCAGTATACCGTCCGGGCAGGTGTTGAGCCTAGCGGTCAAGGTGCCCGTGTCTCCCATGGCAGTTGTATACCATGCTAGCTAGCAGGAGTTCTCTGTCTCTGCTTAAGAATACACACACCCCAATATTGCTACATTCAGAATTGATGATGTCTGTGTTTAAATAATTTGATGTTAAAGGTCTCAAGCAAAGTGATGATCAAGAGCTAGGACTCTGTAGCCACACTGCCTAGGTTGCACTAGATCCCCCACTTAACTTCCAGTGTCTCTTTGAGGAGGTTGCTTAGTCTCCTGTTGCTGTCTTTACACTGAGAATGGCAATGGTGTTGCCTACCTCATGGGATCATTGCTAAGAATTAGATGCAGTTGATGGACGTGAAGGGGTTAGAGCAGTGCCTGACACCTGGTGCTCTGGACTTAATATCCAGTGCTTTCCTGCGATCGCCATGTGCCAGCTGACGAATGTGCTCTGGAAGGCCGTGTGCCACCACAGGCAGCACAGTCATCTGTAATCCTGGTCGGGTGGGGGACATGCAGAAGCAAGCCTCTAAATGAGCACAGTGCTGGAGGGGGTCTGTTCCCTGGAGGGGTCAGAGCGGGCTCAGCCTCTTCCCCCCTCTTCCACAGTGGGTGAACTGGGCCTCTCCCGGCTGCTGGGATGTGGCCAGTGTGGTGGGATGACCTCGGTGTTCTCCCATACTTTTTTTTTTAAGTGTAAAAAGCCAGACTCAGCTTTGCATATGTGTGATGGTCTCAATTTTGCTTCTGTAGAAAACATCTGAAAGGAGTAACCAAGGTCTCCAATAACCAAGGTCGGCCTCTAGTTCACACAGGATTTGGGTTTTTACCTTCTGTTTTTTTAGGTTTTCCTAAACTTGTCAAGTTTCCTACCCTGAGGATATATTCTCTTATTGGTAACGGACAAAATAAAAAAAAAAAAAAATCCAGATAAAGATGGTAGCCTTTCCATGTAGACTGTTGCTAAGACAGGCAAAAATCTCAGCCTTTAATTTGTAGGACAGAAAAATGGTTTTTAACGGTGTGTTTTTAAGCAGTTGTAACCTAAAATTGCTCTGAAAAATAGATATTTTAGAAGTTATGTATGATACAAATATAAGACAAGTTTACTGGGTGGCATGGTGGTATAGTGCCCTAAAACCTCCACCTGTGGCACTGGCAGCTGCCCCACATTGGATTGAGGAAATCGCTGGAGGATGGCCTGGGTTCTTGGGCCGCTACACACAAGTGGAAGACCAGGAAGAAGCCCCTGGCTCCCAGCATAGGCACAGCCCAGCCCAGCTCTGGCTGTTGTGGCCATTTGAGAGTGAACCAGGAGATGGGAGACCTCTGTCTGTGTCTCACTGTCTTTCTGTAACTCTGACTTTCAAGTATAGTTAGTAAAATTTTTAAAGAGAGTTGCAAGTTTTAGATGATGGTCTTTAATTTTTAGATACTGTTTGATACATTTTATTTTAAAAAATTGTCTAACTTATTTGCAAGGGTGAATGGAAAGTTAATCTTCCATCCTCAGGTTCACTTCCCAAATGGCTGTAATAACGGGGCTGGACTAGGCCTGAAACTCCACCCAGGTCTCCCCGTGGCACAGGGGTCCAAGTGCTTGGCCTGGGCCGTCCTCTGCTGCCTTCCCGGCTACATTACTGTGAGGCTGGATCAGAAACAGAAGAGCTGGAACTGGAGCTAGTGTTCCAGTGTGGGATGCTGGCACTGTATGCAGTGATTTAGCCCACTGCCCCGTAGTGCCATCCCCATTATTTCATATTTGGCACTTTCAAAATGGTCATTAGTAGTTTTCACAACTGGAAAGTAAAATGTGTAGAGAGAGTACCTTTCAGGTCTAACAAAGCAATGCTTTGTTTTCAGTTTCCTCCGGCTTATGCGGGCATATCTGAGATGAATCAACCTGCCGAGTTGATGCCCCAGTTTTCTACCATTGAGTACGTGGTACAGGTAACTTCTTTGTTGTGCCTTTAATGAACACTGCTAAATATGTAGTTTCTCTGAAAATCCTGTATCTTTCCTTGCAGGGGATTTGAAGCTGGGGATGCAGCAGATTCCTAAAGCTTGTGTTGTGGGGTGTAGGCACTTACAGCTGTCTCCCGACTGCTCCTCTTGTTCTTGCCGTTGTCTGTCTTTGGTCCTTAACCCAGCAGCAAAGCAACCCTAAGAAGCATATCATGTTCCCTCTCTGTCCCGAGGTACCTCTCTGGCAGCTCTGTTAGCTCTCTGTTCCGAAACCTTCAGTGCTGCGAAGAGCTCTTCTTTCCAGCCGAAGTGGAAGGCAGGTTTCACAGCCCTGTGTGTTTGTTCTCTGACCTCAGCTCCTGCTGCTGTCCTTGTCCAGCTCCTAGGGCCCCGAGGTGTGATGGCCTTTGCTCAGCCCTTGCCTGAGGCTAGCACTTCCCTCTGTGTCTGTGGTTCCCTTCCCCGCCAGCTTGTTGCTTGAATGTGCCTTTCTTAATGAGGCTGCCCAGCCTCTGTTAGTGTGTGAAGCTGCCCCCTGGCTGCCCTCCTGGATAGCACTATTCCCCTCTGCCTTCCAGAAAGCTTGCTCCTTGAGGCAGACAGGAGTCTTGGTTCTTTCTGGGCGCTGACTAACATGCCCAGGTCCTGGAAGGCTGCCTCACACAAAGTGTCATCCCCAAAGTGTTAAATAAATTATTGGAAACAGCTTTTATGTGTAGTTCATCACAAAAGCATCTAAGGCATTTAATAGGATAAAGAAGGGTTTGTGTACATGTACTTATGCCCAGAATTTAAATGTAATGGAAGACTTGATAGTTTTACACTTGATGTGCTTAAACAAGAGTTAGTCACGTGAATCTGACACTGACCCTTGTGCTGGTTCTGTTCGCTGAAAGCGGGGTCCCCAGGCCCCCCTGATCTTTCTGTACGTGGTCGACACATGTCTGGAGGAAGATGACCTTCAAGCACTCAAAGAGTCCTTGCAGATGTCCCTGAGTCTCCTTCCACCAGACGCCCTGGTAGGCCTCATCACTTTTGGGAGGATGGTGCAGGTGCATGAACTAAGCTGCGAAGGAATCTCCAAAAGTTACGTCTTCCGGGGGACCAAGGATTTAACTGCAAAGCAGATCCAGGTTTGTGTCCTGCTGAACCTGAAGCCTGGCTGTTTCTTAGAAGTGAACTCGTCCTCCTCTGCATGGTTTATAGGAAATGAGTTCTTCGCTTTGCTTTCTGTAGGATATGCTGGGCCTGAGCAAGCCGGCCATGGCCATGTCGCAGCCAAGACCTGCTCAAGCGCATGAGCACCCTTCTGTTTCAAGCAGGTGAGGCCTCTATGCATGGTGTCACATGCTGTTGTGGGCCTGCAGGACAGCCCATGGGGGTCAAGAAGGCCTATGTTGGCCTCTGTTTTCTTACGGAAGAAAATGCGTTAGAACCGTGAAGCTACTGGGTGCTCAATTCCTATAGATGTCTCCTTAGCATTCCTCTGCTGCCTACCAGTGACACCCATTTATTCCCATCAGAGTGACATTTTCTTTTCTTTACTACATGTATAAATTACTAAAAAGTAGACTGTACATTCCCTAGCAAATTAATCCTTGAGTTGTGCATGTATCTAGAGATAACCGTGAAGACAGTGGTAGCTTTTTTTTTTCCTGTTTAAAGAGTAGTAACCGGAAGTCCCCTGGAATTGAAGACCAGAATGTTCTGTGAAGGCAAGGTGGACATTTCTTTTCAACATTCTCAGGTTTCTGCAGCCGGTTCACAAGATTGACATGACCCTCACCGATCTGCTGGGCGAGCTGCAGAGGGACCCATGGCCGGTAACTCAGGGGAAGAGACCCTTGCGCTCCACTGGCATTGCCCTGTCCATCGCCGTTGGCTTGTTGGAGGTAATCTGCAATTCACCGGGAAACCTGTGGCCAGAATTTGCTTTGTCGGCCTTGTTTGGAAATCAGTTGTGACCTAAGTCATGTACCTGTGTGTATTAATGTAAGTCGGTATTATCCACATTGAAGGAGCCCTTCGATGTTTGGGAAAGACTGAAAATGTTCATGGAAAGTACAAGGGAGGTAGAGCAATGGGAAGGGCTCACAGTAAGCTACTAGCGCACAGAACCATCAGCTGGGACGATGGGCAGTGCTGTCCCCACCCCAAACCCCACCACCTCACATCAGCATCTGTGTCTGTATCGTTCTGTACTTTCATCAAGATGAGAATCATCCAAGAAGACTCGGGCTGTGCATCGTTTTTGTTGGCAGTGGAACTCACCTAGAGGCAGGCCATGTACCCCTAACCTGTTGCTACTTGTTGCAGGGCACTTTCCCCAACATGGGAGCCCGAATCATGCTGTTCACGGGTGGCCCGCCTACCCAAGGGCCTGGCATGGTCGTTGGTGATGAGCTGAAGGTTCCTATCCGTTCCTGGCATGACATTGAAAAAGACAATGCACGCTTCATGAAGAAGGCGACCAAGGTGGGTAGTCGTGAGTGTGGGGCTGTCCTGGTGCATTTGGGTTGCTCCGGAGTGACAGCTGCCAGCCAGCAAGTTCCTCATTCTGAGACTTTGTTCCAGGCCTTGGCTGCTGCTCAATTACTGTTCCCTCTGTCTGACCTCAGTTGGAGTGACAGCTTTAAAACTGCTGAAAGTGTTTTAAAACTGGAAACCAAGTCCTTATTTTTCCCTTTCCATATCCTTTGGTTTATTAAAGCACACCTTGGAAAAACGGCAATGTTTCCTAAAGAGTGTATTCTGTCTTCATAGCATTACGAGATGCTCGCTAATCGAACTGCTGTCAACGGCCACTGCATTGATATTTACGCCTGTGCCCTTGATCAGACCGGGCTTCTGGAGATGAAGTGTTGCACGAATCTTACTGGGTGTGTTGCCAGCGGACCTGTGGGGAGAGGGAACTGCTGTGTGAAGATAGGAGAAATCAGTGTTGGGGACAGGGTGCAGACAAGGTCACCTAGGAGCACTTTGAGGTGGAAAGTAGGGGTCCTCAGGGTGCAGGGTGTCTCAACCAATAGCCTCGGGGTTCCTGAGAGCTGACTAGCCGTGTGCTCCTCAGACTTTGTGCCAGCATTTGTGAATTAGATGCTCTGGGATGAACTGTCCAGGAGGATGACATGCACCTGCAACCGTAATGATGATAACGGGCTGGGCACTGGTCTAAAGCCAGCTGCATGTTAGAACCTTAGAAAACTTGAAAAACTACTCTTGCTTTGGGTCTTGTCCTCCGTGGATTCGGATTTTTTTGCATGGAGTGTGACCTGGGCATGTGCATGTTAAAACATTTTCCCGTGATTCTAATGTGGAACAGAGTTTGATAGCTCTGTGGCCCTAGTCCTGCCAGAGAGCTTATAAATGCTACACCATGAGCTTCGCCGTTGTAGCTGGGTAGGGAAGGAGTGTGTAGATGGAAAATCTTAATCTCTGTAACTCTACCTTTCAAACTAAATAAACTAAGATATAAACTGAAGGGTATGTTAATTTGAGGCTTCTTTAACTTTTATTTGGAAGTAATTACAGAACCACAAGTTATAAATGTTCAGAGAATACAGATGATCCTCCCACTTTCTTCATCTGTTTTTTCCCAGTGGCGGCATTTTAAATGCAGTTCAGGCCCTGGCGTGGTAACCTTGCACATGCCGGGATCTCATATGGACTCTGGTTCATATCCCAAGGGCTGACTGTGCAGTGCTGCTCTGCACTCAGGAGTTAGCCTTCTGGCAACCTGCCTGCAGCACACAGATGTTGGGAGATCTGCTGACAGACACCCCAGTGACTGTCACAGTTTCTTAGTCACATCATCACTTTGTTGTCCAGGCTGGCCAGCATTGGTGTTAATAGTCTAGCTGAGAAGGGGCTGGTTTCCCTGTGGGTCCTGCTGTACTGTGGAGCCAGAGGAGCCGTCTGTTTCCTCTGTTCTAGGAGAGCTGGTGATGGAGTAGGAATTAGGAGCAGCACTGGGAGGGCAGTCGAGGTCGGTGCAAAGTCTTGGGACCCTGCACCTGTGAGGGAGACCCAGAGCTGGCTCCTGGCTGCTGGCTGCTGGCTTGGGATCAGCTCTTAGCTCTGGCCATTGCAGCCACTTGGGAATTAAATCAGCGGACAGGAGATTTTTCTCTGTATCTCTCTGCAAATCTGACTTTCCAATAAAAAATAAGTAGTTCTTTAAAAAAGAAAGTAGGTTTGAGTCCTGTAATTGTAGAAATAATATTTAAACTACTCTAATTTTCTCTATCAAAATACTTCTTGTCTGGCATGTTTCTGTATGTGTCGTTGAATACTTCATAATATATTTGATATAGAATCTAACTTGGGTTTTACTAGTGTTACATGTGTAGTTTTTAGGCTGTCATTGTAAATACTGAGGGGGAGTTTGAGTGGCTTTCCTTCATGCTAGTGTTGACTTTCTTTTGTTTTACCTAGAGGCTACATGGTGATGGGAGATTCTTTCAACACTTCACTCTTCAAACAGACATTCCAAAGAATTTTTAGTAAAGATTTTAATGGAAATTTTCGAATGGCATTTGGTGCTACTTTAGAAGTAAAGGTAAATCAAACTTTTAAATCTTCATGGCATCAAAGTTAGCCCTTTGTATCTGCATTTGCTCATCCATGAGTCAACCAACTGAATTCAAGGTGTTTGGGGGAAGACTTATGTGTTCTGCATCTATTTGGCCTTTTTTTTCTTGCTGTTTCCTGAGTAATATAGTATAACAGCTATTTATTTAGCATTTACATTGTTTGGGGTTTAGAGTAACCTGGAAATGATTTAAAGTATATGGGGAAATATGCGTAGATGATACGCAAATACCATGCCATTTTCTACAAGGCACTTGAGCATCCTCAGATTCTGGTATCTGGAGGGGAGCCAGGAGCCAATCCCTCGTGGATCCGAGGGCTGACTGTGCAGTGCTGCTCTGCACTCAGGAGTTAGCCTTCTGGCAACCTGCCTGCAGCACACAGATGTTGGGAGATCTGCTGACAGCCACCCCAGTGACTGTCACAGTTTCTTAGTCACATCTTCACTTTGTTGTCCAGGCTGGCCAGCATCGGTGTTAATAGTTTAGCTGAGAAGGGGCTGGTTTCCCTGTGGGTCCTGCTGTACTGTGGAGCCAGAGGAGCCGTCTGTTTCTTCTGTTCTAGGAGAGCTGGTGATGGAGTAGGAATTAGGAACAGCTTTGAGACCGGAGGACAGGGGACTTCGCCGTGGCCAGTGTCCCCCCAGCTGGCCGTGGGGGACACACACTGCCCAGAGCTGGAATTTGTGTTCAATGCCTATAGAAGAATAGATAGCATTGAGAGTTTGGGATGGTTTGTCCCTGAGGGAACTCCTGGTCCTCCTATAGTTGATTCTGAGTCAACTGAGAGAGCATTAAAAGGGGCCATTAGAACATTTGATTGGAACTAGTACTAGAGTTTGTAGTAACTGTTAAAGTGTTTAAGTTAAACTTAAATAAATGTTTGAATTTTTTAAGACTTTTGTTTATTTGATGGAGTTACAGAGACAGAAAGGGTGGGACAGAGAAAGAGATCATTTACCTGCTGGTTCACCACCGAATGGCCACAACAACCAGGACCTGGCGAGGCTAAAGACAGGAGCAGGAGCCCCATCCAGGTTTTCCGTATGGGTGCAGGGGCCCAGGCACCTGGGCCATCCATCACTGCCTTCCACAGCAGGGAGCAGGATTGGAAATAGAGTAACTAGGACCTCAATTCACACCCAGATGTGATGTTGGCATCTCAGGCAGTAGGTTTGCATGCTATGCCACAATGTCAACCTCCCTTTTTCTTTTTAATATGAAGTGGAATAGGTATTAAAATGAATTCACATTTAAAAGTATACACATTCTGACCTTGTCATTATGCTGAGGGTCATGAATTCAGTATTTTTAGCAATACAAAAAAATATGTTCACTGATTAAAAATATGTAAATGATTATGAATATACATGGGATTGAGAAAAGGTACTGTTGATTGAGTTGTTCTTTATGTAAATAATTTTAGAATTTAAAGTGCATTGACAGAGCTGAGAATGCCGTATCATATTCATGTGGTATCTCAAGGCAGATTTTGTTCATATTTTAGTCAGCTCATTGTGACCTTAGAAAAGGTTGTGGCACAGTTAATATTTTCTAACCCATTTGGGATTTGCTCTTGGTAGAATGATAACATTCCCATGTTTCCCCTCTGCATTTGTGTTGTGACCGCCAGGATGGCAGAGTGGGGCTTGGTGAGCTTTAACTTTCTACTCTTCTGGAATTTGTTTTAGACCTCTCGGGAACTGAAGATTGCAGGAGCCATTGGCCCGTGTGTATCTCTGAATGTGAAAGGACCGTGTGTGTCAGAAAATGTAAGGAAAACTCTGCCGTCCTCGCCCTTACCTCCTGCCCTGTTAGAGGTGTTGGAAGGTGAAGCCTTGCAGTATGTCACCTGTGGAGCGTGTCCAAGGGAGGAGAGAAGAGCTGATCCTTTGGGACCACCGCAGGGCTGAGAGCCAAGATTGTTTGCATTGTCCGGTTCTCTGTCTTACAGGGTCGGGGGAAAGGAGGCATGGGGAAGGGAAGCATCTTGCTTAGGGCCGGAGCTGACCCAGGAGCTGCAGCCTGGGTTCCTCTGACTCTTCCACTGATGCTTGGGTTACTGGGCTGGAGAGCCAAGGGTGTTCTGTTCAGTAGCAGGCAAGCGTTCAACAAAATCCTTCAGGAACAAACTTGTCTGTTCTTAAGCCTTGACATGATGCCTTTGTTCTGCTCTTGGCTGATAATGAGCTGTCCAGAGAGAGCAGTCTGAGTTGTTTCCCAGCAGAGGTTACCGTTGTGTATACACACAGGTGTGTTCTGTAATGGCATGTCTTGGGTGTCTGTGAATGCAGGGCAGGCTGGTGGCCTTGCGGTGGCCTTTGCCTGCTGCATGTACTTCAGTGGCCAGGCTGTGAGCCATTTGGTCTGATGCGATCTCCCTCTGCTGGCTGCATTCTTGCGTCATGCCCTTCCCTGTTACCCTCTGGGGAAAGTTGAGCTATAAGGCACCTGAATGTTCAGGTCTCTCACTCTCTAGCTCTGTGGGCCAGGACAGATTGATGGTTCTCTAAGTCACTGTCTGGGATACCAGCATCTGTTCTATAGAATGGTGAGCAAGATTACAGAGTTTGTTGAGGGGCAGTTAGGACAGCGCCCAGCACGTTGGCAGCATACCCCGAGTGCCATGTTTCATGCCATCACTTTGTCTTCATCACAATACGCATTATTGACTATACAGATTAGATTTACTGAATTTGACAGCGACAGTTTCAGAGAGCATTCCTTGAGTCCTGGGTGACTCAAAGTGCTGCCCAGTAGCCCACCTAAAGTGCTGCCCAGAAGCCCACTAGAGTGGACAGCTGGCCTGGTGGTTACAACATGGGTTGGAACACTCCTGTTCCGTATTGCATTGACTACCTGGGTTTGATTCCTAGCAGAGCCTGGGAAAGCAAGGATAGTAACTCAAGCAGTTGGATTTCTGCAACCCATGTGGCAGATTTAGATTGAGTTCTTATGTATGTATACACACACACACACACACACACACACACGAATATTTGAATATTTTAAAAAATTTATAATGAAAAGGCAGATAAAATTTACGGAGAGGAGACAAAGATCTTCCATATGCTAGTTCATTCCACAAATGGCCACAATGGCCAGAGCTGCAGGAGCCAGGAGCTTTTTTTTTGCATTTCCCAGGCCTTAAGCAGGGAACTGGATGGGAAGTAGAACAGCCAGGACACGAACTGATGTTCATATGAGATCCTGGCACTCATAAGGTCATAAGGTGAAGGTTGAGACATTGAGCCATCATCCTGGCCCCTGCATTGAGTTCTTAGCTCCAAACATAGCTTCTCTTGCCTTGAGAATTTGAAGACACTGGAGAATGTCCCTGTGAATGGGAGCTATTTCCTCTCTGTGTTTCTTTTCACTTCTTCCTTACACTTAAGTTTAAAAATATGTATGTATATTTTGATATTTCTTTTCTTAAAAGCAGTAAAAGAGAGGAAAAAATATCAGAGAAAGAGAAAATATTTCCCATCTCCTATTCCGTCCCAAAATGGCCACCATGGCTGAGATAGCCCTATTCAAAGTCAGGAGCTTCAGCTGGGTCTCCTACTTGGGCAACAAGGGCCCAAGCACTATGTCATTTTCTGCTGCTTTCCCAGATACATGAGCAGAAAGCTGGATCAGAAGTGGAGCATCTGGGACTCTTAAAGAGATGCTGCTGTAGCCTGCTCCCCTGTAACACCAGCCTCAAAGAAATAAAACTGCATGAAACAAACTAAGAAGGACAACCTGACGAGTTGGTGGCAGAGTCAAGAGTTTGAATGCAGAGCTCTATGTTCTGAATTATGTTGGATAAATAGATGGATGGATGGATAAATAGATGGATGGATAGATAGATAGGCACTCATTCATTACACTGAGTGCTAAGGGACTAGTGCCTGTTTCCTGGCAGGGCTTTGGAAGAGCACCTTTTCCCAAAGTGTTTTCTAAGAACATAAAATTGGTTTGATGAAGAACTTAACCTTGGCCTTACTACTTCCTGCTAAGATGTTGTTATGAATTAATACAAATTGACCAGCTGTTTCAGAGATATTCAGCCAAGAATTTCGGTTTGGGGATACAAAGAGAAGGAAAATAAGTTTTCAAACATTCAGGAACGTATTAAGAAGAGTAGGATGAATTTCTGTATACCAACCATGGAACATCAAGAGTAGTTAACTTCTAAAACTCTTAGCAGAGAAAGATCTTCTGTCCACTAGGTCACTTCCCAGCTGCCATCAGTAGGCAAGACTGAGCCAGGCTGACATCGGGCGCCTGGAACTCTATCTGGGTTTTCCACGCAAATGGCAGGGTCTCTGGTGCTTTGGCGTCCTCTGTGGTCTCTTGGGTGCATGTTGGCAGGGAGCTGGACCTGGAGTGGAGGAGCCCAGACATAGCCCAGATACTCGGATACAGGATGTGTACATTGCTAACTGCCGTAACAAGACCACTGTGTCTAACACCCAGGTTATTGATCACTTTCACCTAACCTAAAAGAATTGGGTAGAAAAGTAGTAATTATAGCTAACGTTGTGTAACTATTTCTTATTCTAATAGTGATGATGAAACAAGTGCATAAAACATAAAGCTTACTAGATGATCCTTTTTCCTATTGTTTATTTCTCCCAGCCCTGACTTGATTCGTTATGAACTTCAGTGTTAGATACCACAGTGGAAACTGGCTACACCATCAACATAATGAGAGGTTCCACGGTTAGATACTATAAATCCAAGTATTAGGCCTTCTTCTGCTCTGTAATTGTGTTTTTTCAGTAAAAAAAAAAAAAAATTTAAATGTAAATTTTCCCCTGAAAAGTGATGTTCTAAGCTGCCTGTCCTTCAAGCGTCTGCAGTTAACCATGGGCTGACGTGTGTGTCTGTTCCTTCCTCTGCGCCTCCCAGGAGCTGGGTGTTGGGGGCACAAGTCAGTGGAAGATCTGTGGCCTGGATCCTACCTCTACCCTTGGCATCTACTTTGAAGTTGTCAATCAGGTGAGTTGAAAGTAAAAGGAGTTTATTTTGGTGCAGAAATATGTAGAATCTGTGTGTAGTTTCTTCGTAATATGTATTTTCTTTGAGTGTGTTGATTCCTCATATGTATGGCTTTCAAATATTTGTGGCATAACCATACACTTAGGAGAGCAATGACTTATGCCTGTGTTAATGTTTTGTTTCAGTCTTTCTCCAATGTTTTCTTATGAAAAATTGCTATTATACAGAAGGCTGAAACAGATGTACAGTTTATGCTGATGTGCCCACTGACTGGACTCTGTAGCATCTCACTATATTTACTTAATGCATTTCAAAGCAAATTGGAAATCATAAGTGTAAATTGATCCCTAACACTTCAGCATACATATCAGTCTCTTGAGTTCAGTATCAAATGTGTTGGTGCCGTGTGTGTGTGTGTGTGTGTGTGAATGTTCCATACAGAAAAATACACAGATCCTAAGTGCATCATTTCAAGTGCATATAAGCCATACTGTCCCGGCTGTGGCCCTCATTTAAGCACCCAGTGGGCCTGGGCCTGTGTTTGAGTTCCACCTGGAACTGTTACAAGGTGTCTTGCCTCTTGTCCTGCAGCACAACGCCCCGATCCCCCAGGGAGGCAGAGGCGCCATCCAGTTCATCACACAGTATCAGCATTCCAGCACCCAGAGACGCATCCGTGTGACCACCATCGCCCGAAAGTGAGCATGCGCAGTCTCCCGACTGACATTTGTCCTCTGAAGAGCTGGTTTAATCTCTGTTAGTTCGCTTTAATGATTCCACCAGTCCTTAAAGTTACCTACCATACACCCATATAGAGAAAGGTACTTCAGAGTTTGTGGAAAGTGCATGTTATGAAAATGCTATGTAGGATTTAAACAAACAGAAAAAATTATACCAAAATAAGTTTATTATTTTTATTCCATCTGCACAGTTTTCTTTTTAAAGATTTGTTTATTTTTATTGGGAAGTCAGGTACACAGAGAGGAGGTGAGACAGAGAGGAAAATCTTCCATGCATTGATTCACTTCCCCAAGTGGCTGCAAAGGCCAGAGTTGAACTCTTCCGAAACCAGGAGCCAGGAGCCTCCTCCAGGTCTCCCACATGGGTGCAGGGTCCCAAGGCGTTGGGCCATCCTCAACTGCTTTCCCTGGCCACAAGCAGGGAGCTGGATGGGAAGTGGGCAGCTGGGATATGAACCAGTGCCTAATGGGATCCTGGCGCGAGCAAGGCAAGGACTTTAGCTGCTAGGCTGCTGCTTGGGGCCCAGCCACAAGCTTTTTGAGGTAACCTTGTACATGTGCAATAGCTATTAATGTCTAAACATCTATATTTGTATCCATCTATATGTGTGTATGTATGATCTGTATGTAAGCTTGTATGTATATATTTCAATGGCTGCCTTGTATTGTATGACATGCATGGGGTGCATCATTCCTCTTCAAGGACGTTTTGCATCCTGCCAGCCGGTCACCCTCACAGAAGTCGAAATTGTCCCAGTATATACTCTGCCCAGTAGTGCAAGGAAAATGCCTTGCCTCCTAACTAACCATGGGTATTTTCAATCTTTAACAAATAGCAAGCAACATCTCATTGTCACTTGTATCTTCCCCATATCAGTAGTTGTATACATTATCAGGAAGTTGTGTCCTCATGCATGCTTATTGTCCATATGTATTTCGTCTGTGATAGCCTTGCCCATTTTGCAAAATAGGTTTCCTTTTCTTGTTTGCTACTTTATGAAAACTATTCTGCAAGTAGTTTATTATTAGGTTTGCTGCCCACATCTGTTCCTGGTCAGTGTTGATTTTTATCTATGTTTGTGGTGTGTTTACTCACCTGGAAAACTTCTGTATGTATGTTGATTCTTTTTTATCTTCCTGGAGTGTGATGCTGGGAAGTTATTTGGTGGATTTGTAAACAGTTAATTTTTTTAAGCAGAAAAAAAAAAAATGAAACTAGCAACATTGCACTGAATTTTTGCTTGCATGGTGTCCTGTGGCCCATGGGGAAGTGCTCCTCTGTAATTTTCTTTGGAGTGTGCAGCTGTCAGAGATCACGTAAAGCCAACTGAGAATGTGCAGAGAGCCCCTGGGACTCCTGGGTGCAAGCGAAACTCAAATCTGTGTGCTCTGCAATGCAGGAACAGGATGTGTGTTTCTTTGTCTAAATGGAGATCTGGCTTTCTTGTCTCTTGCACGTGACTGTGACACTGACGCTGGCGTCGGCAGTTGGGCAGATGCACAGAGTCAGCTCAGGCATATTGAAGCCTCCTTTGACCAGGAGGCTGCTGCCGTCTTGATGGCGCGGCTAGGTGTCTTCCGGGCCGAGTCTGAGGAGGGGCCCGACGTGCTCCGGTGGCTGGACCGCCAGCTCATCCGACTGGTAAGTTGGGCACAAGAGCATTATGTTCAGGCTTGATCTCTGCTCTGCTTTTTTGTGCATGAGAGATATATTTGTTTATTTGAAAATCAGACTTAGAGAGGAGAAGAGACAAAAAGAAGCCTTCCCTTCGTGCTGGTTCACTCTGTAGGTACAACAGCCAGGGCTGTGCCAGGCTGAAGAGCCAGGAATTTCACTGGAGTCTTCCTTTTGGGTGGCAGGGACCCAAACACTGGGACCCAGGCCGCTTAGCATGAAGCTGGGTGGGGAGTGGAGCAGCCAGCACCTAGCAGTGAGGAGGCTGCCAGTGAGCATGTGGCCCCTTGTCGCCTGCAGCCTCCACTGGCAGAATGCGGTACACGGCAGCTGGCCGAGGCATGTGGATCAAGGGCCCGCATCATCTCACAGCCAGCAGAAGGGGTAAATTTGGAACCGTGAGGCAACAGATCAATAGTTGGCACTCCACGCCTTCTGGTACATTCGCAGCACATATTCATGGTCAGAGGCAATGCAAAGCCCCGTGAGCGAAACTGTTTTACTTTGTTTGGCTCAATAGTTACCCTTGCCATTGCATGAAATCGTTTTTCAGGGAATGTCAACATTTCAAATACAAGCTAATAACTGCTCCTAGAATTGCCAAGAGGTGACTTTTAGTTTCTAAGAGGTTGGCAAAGCCTTGGGAAGTGAACCTTCAGACACATTTTTTCCCTGTTGATTTCTTTATAAAAAGAAGGGCAAAGTTTGAAGGGCAGTAACAGAGAGAAGGAGAGACAGAGACAGGTGCTCCTTCTGCTGGTTCACTCCCCAAATGGTCATAACGACCAAAGCTGAGCTGATTCAAAGCCAGGAGCCGGGAGCTTCTGTCTAGGTCCCCTACATGGGTGCTGGGTTGCAAGGACTTGAGCTGCCCTTCACTGTTCTCTCAGGTCAAAAACAGGGAGCTGGTTGGGAAATGGAGCAGTTAGGAATGAAAGTGACTCCCATTTGAAATGTAAGCACTGCAGGAGGAAGATTAGGCTATTGTGCCACTGCACGGACCTCAGATTTTTTTTTACATGTTGTTTTTTAAATTATTTTCTTTCAACAGTGTCAGAAATTTGGCCAATATAACAAGGAAGATCCCACTTCCTTCAGGTTATCAGATTCCTTCTCTCTGTATCCTCAGGTGAGTAAGACTTGCTTGTACAAACTTGTGCAGAGCAGTAGATTGCAGAAGACACGAAGCTCTGTGTTTTCAGGGTCATATGAAGAATGTGTGCCATTTCCAGCCTCCATCAGTGGAGGTTATTCACTGAAGAGAATATCACGTCCCTGTGCACAGGCAGACCCCACGCCCAGCACAAGACAGCGCAGCAGGCAGAGAGAACATGAATGCATGGAGTGCCACAGGAGGCCAAGAGGTTCACACCAGATCTCTGGTTTGCAGAGGTGCTGGGTGAGCAGTCAGCTCCTTTGGCAGTAAACTGAGAAAGAAAAGTGTAGCAGAGTGAAATCATCATTATTAGTGTGACAGATAGGAATGTGACAGACACTTTGGAATGTGTCTAGTTGTGGGTTGCATCCCAAGTAGGCTCTGAAGGTAACTGCACAGGGCGTGAGCCAAGCACATGACTGCCTCTGGATATGGGACGAAAAGAGAGAAGTAGGTGGAGCAGGAGGCTGCTCCCGTTAACGTGGGTGTCCAACTTTCCTGAGTGAGCAAGGAGAGCCGAGCTTGGCAGGTGGCTGGGAGGGCTCCCTGAGCTCGGCGCACCAAACACACAGTCTTCACTGGGCTGCTACACGTGTGTCCAGTGCTTTGTAAAGTCAGCCAGCGGACAGCAAGAGCCTGTGCGCAGTAGGTAGAGGCCAGGTGGGATGGTGGGAAGAGTCAGGACATGGTTCCAGCTCGTGCCCCACCCTGCTGGTCTCAAATGAGGTCCCCAACCCTGTGACTTTCCCATTTCCTCCTGTGTCCAAAGAGGGTGTTGATCTGGAGAGGTGGTCTAGTTAGAGCTGGCCATCCTCTCCTCAAGGGATCTTCCTGCAGAGCCAGCATGCACCTCACACACCCGCCAGCTCCGCACAGCTCCCACCAGCAGATGAGCTTTGCCCAAGGAATTGAAGGGCCCTTCTGTCAGGACAGGGGGCCCTGGCCCTGGCTGCAGAGCCAGGTGGGCTGCTGAAGAGCCTAACATTGCCTCTCGATAGCTTGGTGATTGTGGGCAAGTTGCATTGGCCAACCCTCTGTGCGTGGGTCTCCTCTTCTGTAACTAAGGGGCTTGAGGTCTTGTTTGAAGAATTAATCTGGGCTAGCACCCTATACCTTGCACATAGATACTATTGAAAACCAGCGCGTTAGTATTTCATCTTTGTATTCTGAGCTTCATATGCTTCTCGAGGAAGCTTGTTTTCATGTCTGTCTGTTCTGCCGAGTGAGCTGAAAGTCTCCCCACTCTTCCCACCACCATCTAATTCTTGGGGTGAAGACTGTGAGCTCTTCAGCATTGTCTCCCCTGTATACCCGTCACTCCTGCCAGCTGGGGTCCTGAGCTCCCCTCTGCACTCCATTGCGTGTGGTCCCTGACCTGCAGCTTTCAGGGTCTTTACCCTGACTCCGTAGCTCTGGAGAGTGTGCTGGCCTGTCACTGCCCCACACCTAACCCCACACCACTGCTTAACATGAGAAGATGCCCCAGATGCCTCTTCCCACATGGCCTGACTTCGTGAGCAGCCCCAGGTCTCTGGAAGTCAGTGTTGCTCAGTCTGTCCACTTTGGCGTGGAAGCTTCAGCTTAGAGGCCTCTCCTAGGGGCTGGGCTGAGCTGTGTGAGCGCTGAGGTGCGTGAACCAGCAGCTTACAGCTCCGTGCACTTGTCTCTCCCTCTGTGCCTGCAGTTCATGTTCCACCTTAGAAGGTCTCCGTTCCTGCAAGTGTTTAACAACAGCCCTGACGAGTCGTCCTATTACAGACACCACTTTGCCCGGCAGGACCTGATGCAGTCCCTCATCATGATCCAGCCCGTTCTCTACTCCTACTCCTTCCATGGGCCGCCTGAGGTAGGCGTGTGCACGTGTGTGCAGGTGCACCTGTGTGTGCACGCTCCCATACGTGAGCGCACAGGCTTTCTGGAGACTGGAAATCATCTAATTTTGCTTATGTTTTTTTTTTTCCTGGAAAATTTACTTTTAGATCAGCATTATTTAAGAAAAAAAAAAGAAAAGGTTGAGTTTCTATAGCAGTTAAGCCCTAATTTTGAGTGTTGGAAATAGCCACAAGAAGAAAAGGACATGTAAGGCTATTTGCATACAGTTAAAATGGAGAATTAGGTAATGCAGTGGTCAAGAGTAGACAAAGAAATAAGTAACCCTATATTCACAAAATTTAGCCAACAAACTGTTACCTGAGAAAAATAAAAATAGAAAGTTTTGTAAGTGGTGTTTTCTAAGAAACCTGCAAAAACAGAGAACCATGTAGAAATGGCAGGTCACTATTTACTATACATGAGGACATATTTTCCATTTTTATTTAATGTGTACAGGTTTCTTTTGTTATTTAAGTAGCAAAATGTATAAAAATACATTTCATAATAAACTTGAAGAACTTGTGGTAAGTACTGTTTTCCATATTGGCATCCCTGTTCTCCCCCTTATTTATAGCTGTGGTAGATTTGAGAGGAAATGAATGTTCCCAAGTGATTAAACATATTTTCACAAACACAAAACAGTGTTTGCAGTGATTTCCAGGCCCCAGATGCCAAGATACTGTGCCGCCCCTTCTGCTTGCTAAGGAATGACTTAGAACCACTGAGCTGTGGGTCAGAAGGCGGCAGTGTGGATGAAGAGACATCCCAGTGTTGGGGCCCACTTGTGAGCAGTCACCTCTGTTGGGGATCGAGCCTCGTGAGTGTGAGGCAGTGCTGGCATCTCTGTGGATCGGGCCTCGTGGGGACAGGGCCATTGGGCGTCTCTGTGGATAGGGCCTCGTGGGGACGGGGCCATTGGGCGTCTCTGTGGATAGGGCCTCGTGGGGACGGGGCCATTGGGCGTCCCTGTGGATTGGGCCTCGTGGGGACGGGGCCATTGGGTGTCCCTGTGGATTGGGCCTCTTCAGCACCAAGCCATGCCTGCCATCTCTCTCTGTCTTCAGCCCGTGCTCCTGGACAGCAGCAGTATCCTGGCAGACAGAATTTTGCTGATGGACACCTTCTTCCAGATTGTCATTTACCTTGGTGAGGTAGGAGGAGAGTCTTGTTTTCTTCCTAGTTACTGATTTAGAGCTCTTTTAAAAATGACATCTGAAACAGGAGTTTGAGCTTAGAAAATCCAGAGTTTATTATGGTGAGTACATTGGCTTTCATTCTGTTAATAAAGTCTTGTCAAACACCCTTAGGGTGTTTGTGTATTTAATAAATAATATGTGCTATAAAAGAAATCTTGGAAGGTCCTTTTAAGTCATTGAAAGTACTTTCTGACTTATTAGGAAAAATTACAAAAAAAGTTTGTTCTTCAGTAAACTTTTTGTACCTGCTGCTGGTGTCTCAATTGGAGTGGCACTTGGGGGAGAAGTCTTCTCTGATGATATGAGGTGATCCCAGGAGTGTTGCATTAGGAGGGCTCCGGTGCCCTCAGTGACAGTTCTTTCCTAAGGGGTACTCATGGTCTGTGAACGGAATGATGCCCTTAGAGTGATGATGCATCATCCGGAGGGAAGAGAAAAACAAAAGCCTTTTAGTTGAGTGTTATGCTTGTTCTTGTTCTGTATCCCGTCCATTGCTTTGGGGATTGATTTGGCTTTCTAGTGCCTGAACATTAGAACTGACTTCAAGGGCCCAGCGTGGTGGCCTAGTGAGTCCACACCTTGTATGTGTCGGGATCCCATATGGGCACCAGTTCTAATCCTGGCAGCCCCACTTCCCATCCAGCTCACTGCTTGTGGCCTGGAAAGGCAGTTGAGGATGGGCTAAAGCCTTGGGACCCTGCACCCATATGGGAGACCCAGAAGAGATCCTTTCTCCTGGCTTCGGTTCAGCTCAGCTTTGGCCCTTATGGCCACTTGGGGAAGTGAATCAATGGATGGAAGATCTTCCTCTCTGTTTCTCCGCCTCTCTGTAAATCCAACTTTCCAATAAAAATAAATCATTAAAAAAAGAAGAACTGATTTCAAATGTCCTGACAAAATGCTGCTGTGTGTCAGAATTTACCCCTAAATGTTAGGTAGTAGTGGTGCCAACCACTTGCCCCCAGTGCTAGACTGTTGGGAAGGGCGGGCCGAGAGCCCTGCGCCAACCAGCTGCCATTCCCACTTGTTTCTTGGATGGCAGTGCTGACGACATTAGCTTGCTTTGCCTTCAGCACACCTCCTGTTGACAGCTCTGGCTATTCATTCTCATGCACTCACACATCTGCTAAGTACCTAGTGCAGGTAAGGGGTTCTGAAGCAGAAAAAATACTCAGAAAAGGCAACTGGCAACTCAGAAAGGGAAAGCTGGCCACAGGAGGAGCATCTAAAGAGATGTAGTGTTGCAGAAACTCCATGGACAGCTGAAAGCAGAAGATAATTATTTCAGTGAAAAATGTTTTTTGAAGTTCATGCATAGTTCTTGTATAATTTACATTTCTTCTGAACCTTTTTGAAGACCACATGCAGGGAATATAAAAAAGTTTTGCACTGAAATAAGCTTGCTGTTACTTGCATTTTGTACAAGCCTTTTGAATGTGTGTGTGTGTGTGTGTGTGTGTGTGTATGTGTGTCAGTCGTGTTGTTAGAACACACTAGTATGTCAGTTTCCCATTTTCCCTCTCCCTTGCCCTTTGGTAGTATTGCTGACATCACATGTAAATACACTGCAATTTCATTACAAATACACAAAAATCGGTTAATGAATATCTCTTGGTCTCCTGTGTGTGTAAGATATTTCCTGGAGCAGTTGTTGAGGAATGAGGTATAAAATGTTTTAGTCTAATTGGAAAGAAAAGCATTGTATACATTCCACATTTTACTCCATTGCCTCTTCCTCATAGCCTAATTCATGTGTTGATCTATGTGGTTTTTTTTATCTCCTCTGCCAAGAGAATCCCATCTCAGGGTTCAGTGGGAGGAGCCAGCAGCTCTGGGTGTGGGGTGTAATGTGTGCACTGTTAGCAGAGAGAAGGCAGGGGTTCCCATCAGGGTGCTGGTGAAACCCCTGGCTGTAAGGGGTGGGGCAAGAGACTAGACTGATGGGGAGCAGTGGAAGCAGGAAGGCCATGAGTCCTCGGGCTGACTGATCCGGGAGCTTAATACCTTGGTCCATACAGGTAGGCAGGCAACAGCAGGTGCGAATGATGGATGAGCCATGCAGGTGATGTGTCCTAGGTGCACTGTCATTGCCAGGTCCAGCTGCTCCTCCTAGTCAGTTCTGCTTTGCTTCCCTTGGCCATGGGTCACTTCTGGTGGGAGACTTCCTCACTGGAAATGGTGGCTCTGGGGGCTATGTCGTTGCAGCATTCCCCCAGCAGTTTTGGTGGTTTTCTGTTGATGTAGACTGTGGCCCAGTGGCGGAAAGCTGGATACCAGGACATGCCAGAGTACGAAAGCTTCAGGCACCTGCTGCAGGCTCCCCTGGATGATGCCCAGGAAATCCTTCAGGCGCGCTTCCCCATGCCGCGCTACATCAATACGGAGCACGGCGGCAGTCAGGTGAGTGAGCTGCCCGGCTCTGACAGCCTGTGCCTCACCGTCTGTTAGTGGAGCTACGGAGCCGGCCAGGTAGCTACTGTTTTATGTAGTGAGGTAAGCTGGCATTTTTAGAAGCAGAAAATTGCCAACATAAAGTATTTATTTCATGTTTTGTGATCTTTCACAAAATGGCAAGAGAGTAGGCTTCCCCAAAGAAATAGCTTCCTGTGCCTTAAACAAAATTTCCAACTTAACCAAAGAAATGTAAAGACTTTGTGTTTTTTCCTACTGTGCTGAATTAATGCCTTTAATGTTGAATTTTTTTTTAAAGGCTCGATTTCTTCTATCCAAAGTGAACCCATCTCAGACACACAATAACCTGTTTGCCTGGGGCCAGGTAAGAACTTGATCAGTGTTTGGGGAGGAAACCAGGCTATTGGAGCTTGAAACTTGCTTGAAAAATTGTAACAGTTGCATCTCTCTGAGCCCATGGATAGAAAAATTTGAATATTTTCTGGGAATGCAGTAGAGGGTGGACTTCAGTAACAGTAGAGCAAAGTGGGGAGAGGGCTGCTTGGGTGTGTCCTCTCCCACGGGACCCAGAGTAAGGTGCTAGCATCAGAACAGACACTGCAAGCACAGCTGCTTTCCCAGTGCCACTGTCCAGTGTCGGACAGACACTGTGTGGTAATCCCCGTGCTGCAGTCCTCCTGGACGTGGAGGTGAAACCCCTAGTCCTCCCGGGACATGGAGGTACAACCCCAAGCCTTCCTGGTTGTGCCGCTTTGCCAAGCTGTTGCATGGTCTGCCCGGCCTCCTCCTCCTTTTCAGTCTCTTATTCCTCCTCCTCCCTTCTTTTGAGTCTGCTGGTGCCAGCATTTGTGTCTGAATCTCTCATTCTGTGTTCTTATAATGTTTTTTAAAATTAAACATTGTTTTTGCAGAAGAAGTAAATCTACATTCAGTTGTAAGAAATAATATAGACTCCTATACTCCTTACTTATTTTCCACTCAAGGTAACTTGGAAACTGATATAGTATCACAAACAGGAGACTGACATTGATGCAGTCAGGATGTGTGCAATGTTTTCATCACTGCCAGCATCTCTCCTGGTGCCCTTTTGTTTTGTGTTGTGTTGTTCTAATTTCATTTTATATGAAGAGCAAAGAGACAGAGTATCTTGCATTGTTAGTTTACTGCCTAAGTGCCCACACCAGCCAATGCTGGGCCAGGCTAAAGACAGGGGCTGGGCATTCAATTTCAGGCTCACACATGGGTGACAGGAACCCAAGTACTTAGGAAATGTCAGCTGTCTCCCAAAACACACACCAGCAGGCAGCTGCAGCAAAGAGAAGTGGTCAGGACTCCCTCCCAGCAAGCACTCTGCTATGATGCGTGGGGGTCCCAAACAGGCTGACCCAAATGCCTGCTCTCATCAATTGCCCTTGTGTGTGTGTTTAAGATTTATTTGTTTGTTTTATTTGAAGGGCGGAATGACAAAGTAAACAGGAAAACAGAGTCCCACTAGTTCACTTACAAATGCTTGCAACAGCCAAGTCTAGGTCAAGCTGAAGCTAGGAGTCAGGAACTCCTTCCTGGGCCCCACCATGGTGAGCAGGGGCCCAGGGCCTGAGCTGTCTTCCACTGCCTTCCCAGGTACATTGGCAGGAAGCGAGGTTGGAAGTGGAGTAGCCAGACTTGAATTCATATTAGATGAACTTTTTGGATGCTTTGTGTTTTTGAGAAATTTGCTCCATTTTATTAAACTATCAAATAAATATGCAAAATTGCTTGTACTACTCCATTATCATCCATTAGGTCTTCATAGAGTCTATCTCCTTGCTGATATTGATCCAAGTGTCAGTCCTAACTGAGTTTTGGTAATTTGATTGATCCTCTTAGAGAACCAGCTCCTCATTTTATTGACTTTCCTGTATTTTCATTTTTAATTCTGTTGATTTTGTGTAGTCATTAATTTCCATTCTTGATTTTGCTTTAGGTTTGTTTGTTTTTTTTTTACTCTTTTTCTAGATTTTTGTTTTGTTTTCTTTATTTGAAACGCAGAGTCGTAGAGAAAGAACGGGAGACACAAGAAAGATAATCTTCCATCCATCTTCACTCCCCAAATAGCCATAATGGCCATGGCTGGGGACAGGCTGGAGCCAGGAGCCTGGAGCTTCTTCTAGGTCTCCCATGCAGGTCGAAGGTCCCAAGGCTTTGGGCCATCATCTGCTGCTTTCCCAGGTCACAAGCATGGAGCTGGATGGGAAGTGGAGCAGCCACTACTCAAACTGGTGCCCCTTTGGGATGCTGGCACCGTAAGTGGAGGCTTAGTGTGCTGTGCCACAGCACCAGCCCCTCCTCTGTTCTAATGCAGATGTATACTGCTCTTTTCCTGCGAGCATGTTGTTTTGTTTGCATGTATTTGCGCAGGTTGTTATTTGTCCTTTTGATTTCAGTGTGGCTGAAGAACGTACTTTGTATGATTTCAGTTACTGTAAATTTGTTGGGGTTTGTCTGATGGCCCAGGATGTGGTTGGTTTTGGCATATATTTCATGGTCACTTGAAAAAAAGGTGTGTTCTATGGATGTTGGATAGTGTCCCACAAATGTCTGTTGGATCTGCTCGCAGATGGCAGTATCTGATTCTTCCTGTGTCCTTGCTGATTGTCTAGTTCTGTTCGTTCTTGAGTTGGAATACTGAAGTTCTGTCAGCCTTTTTTTTTCACAAGTTTTGTAGCTCAGTTTAGACATATGCATGGCCGACTGCTGTGTCTTCATGCTGGACTGATCTTTTAATCATCATATTTAAGGCCCCTCTCTTGTCTATGACAATTTTTCTTTTACTGTATCTGATATTAATACAGCCACTCCTTCCCCTTGATGAGTAGTTATATGATACTATCATCTGTTGCTTAACGAAGGTTAAGTGTTCTGAAAAGCGCAGTTTTTTATAGGCAGTTAAAACGCAGTTTTTTCTTTTGGTGAAATAGAGTGTATTTCCACAAGCTTAGATGGCATAGCCTAAGTATACAGGCTGTATGTTGTAAAAATATATTTGAAAGAGCCCAGCGTGGTAGCCTAGTGGCTAAAGTCCTTGCCTTGCACATGCCAAGATCCCATATGGGTGCTAGTTCTAATCCCAGTGGCCCTGCTTCCCATCCAGCTCCCTGCCTGTGGCCTGGGAAAGCAGTCGAGGACGGCCCAAAGCCTTGCTGTACCCATGTGGGAGACCTGGAGGAGGCTCCTGGCTCCTGCCTTCAGATCGGCTCAGCTCTGGCCATTACGGTCACTTGGGGAGTGGATAATTGGATGGAAGATCTTCCTCTCTGTCTCTCCTCCTCTCTGTATATCTGACTTTTCCAATAAAATAAATAAATCTTTAAATATATATATATTTAAAATAGAGAAATTGGGATTTACATTATCACTTAATAAGTATGTGTTTCAAATGTATGTGAGCGTACCTTTGGAAAATTGAATTATAAAATCTTTTCTTGATGCCAAAGTGCTTGAGGTTTATGCATCGTGTTTTCTTACTGTGCATATGGAAAATTTACCCCACATGTATTGATTTGCTTTGCAAGGTTGAGGTTTTGTTACAAATAGGTTTCTTTGCAGTTCGATCTTTTCTTGCAACGTGAATAAGATTGTAGGTGTTTTCTGATATTGCAGTTACCCATTGGTTTTGTGGAGATGCTGACTGCCTCACATACCCACCGGTCTGTGAATCCACACTTGTCACGTGGCTGCTAATCGTGGATGCCTGCGTGCTGGCAAAGGGTGGGGCGAGTGAGAGGATGGTGCAGGGGCTTCAGGAGGCTCCTTGTCACAGAGCTAGCTCTGGATGAGCTGTCAGGACCATAGAGAAGGGTTGCAGTTGAAAGGCAGGTGCTCAGACCTTGCCAGCAGCGTGGCTTGATCTTAATGCATCAGGAGGCCAGTTTCTGTTAACAAACCAGGGGAGAGCCAGGGAAGAGGGACAGCAGCGAGTGTCCAGGGCAGCCCTGTCAGTGGTGTGTGGCAGAGAAGCCTTCTCACTGCAGTTCCAGCCAGTAACCCTTTCTCTTGATGTTTCAGGAAACCGGCGCACCCATCCTCACTGATGACGTCAGCTTGCAGGTGTTCATGGATCACCTGAAGAAGCTGGCTGTGTCCAGTGCCGCTTGAGCCGAATGGGAACGGGAAGGGAGGATGTTCACAGTTGTCTGGGAAGGCTTAATGACATTCCTTTCACTTTCCTGGTGGGTTTTAGTAGGTCATGAAAGGGAATTCTGAATGCAACCCGAGATGATAATTTATTTGTATTCCTGATCTCTGCCCTTTTTCCTGCACCATGAGATTATAAGGTCATAACTGGTGGTATGGTACATGTTTATGTTTTTTGGGATCCTAACTTTTATAGTTTATATAAAATCAGAGGTCATGTATTTTGGCAGCTTGTTTACAAGAGAAAAGTTTAATCGTCCTAATGGAAATAAATCTGAAAAAAAAGCACAAATTTGATTTTCTGAGAAGTGTGTTTGTTTTAACTCTTTCATGAAGCATTTCCTGAACTTAATACTCATTTACCACCTACATGTTAAGAAACCCAGGAAATTCAAAACACATGCGAGCGTATTGAGGCAGAGCTGCTGGAGATGCACCGACTCGAGTGCAGTGTGCCCAGCCAGGAAACCTCAGGCGTGGCTGCCAACGTAAGCGGTTCCAGCAGAGTGACACCTGTTGCCCTGGGCATCCCAGTCAGGGATCCGCATGATCCTAAAAAGCACACTCCAAACAAAAGAGATCACCTGATTCTAAGAGTTATTGCAACAGATACCATCAGCCTTGCCTCCCTCATCTACTCTCCTCCTCAGAGAGAACTTTGTTTTCTATTTTTTCTTTTCTTTTTTTAAAAAAAATACTTACTTGTTTTTATTTAAAAGAGATTTACAGAGAGAAGGAGAGAGACAGAAAGAACTTCTGTCTCCTGGTTCTATGGAGTCTGTTCTTTATCTAGAGTTCCCTGATATTTCCTCTTGGTCTTGGGCTTTTGTTTTTGTAGGCTTGTTATATGGCTGTTACCCAGGAATCTTTGGATGCTGAGTTAGTCCCACTCTTCCTTTTATTCCTTAAGGCATATTGTCATCTCGAATGACTTTTCCAAAAAAAGGACCTTGGAGATAATGCACTGGATCTAAGTATATTTATTAACAAGTCCTTTGTCTTCAAACTTAGCAGCTTTGCTAGGTCAAAGTTTAGGCCCCAGATAATTTTCTCCCAAAACTTATTTTTTGTACACTCCACAGCCATTCAGCACTTGCTGTGAATGGAGCAGTGTTCCAGGCACTGGTAATAAAGCCAATAGAAACTTCCTATTCTGGGGTTTATGTTCTCACAAGGAAAAACTGGCAAAAAAAAGTTTGAGGTAAATGGTGTGTCAGAGGTAATATGTGGAGAGGGAAAACTGGGAGCTCATGGACCACGTGTTAGACCATCTGGATGCATTCTGTTGTTGTCTGAAGCTGTATCTGCTAAAAAAAAATAGTGAAAAAAAAACAGCTAAAAAAGATTTAAAAGGGATAAAGAAAGGTGTATGCTGCCCTTTGTCTCTCTGCTCTATGTTATGCCTTTCTCTTCCTGAGTGGGGAACGGTCACATTTTATTTCAAAAAGCTTTTATTTTCTGTGCCTTTGTGTAGAATTAGTTTCATTGTGGCAGCACAATTTTTATTTGAGATCCTTCATGAAGAATACATAAATTGCAACTGGTACCATGGCTCAACAGGCTAATTCTGCATCTTCAAGTGCCGAAATCCCGTATGGGTGCCAGTTCATTACTGGACGCTCCACTTCCTATCCAGCTCCCTGCTTGTGGCCTGGGAAAGCAGTCAAGGACAGCCCAAAGCCTTGCGACTCTGCGCCCACATGGGAGACCCGGAAGAAGCTCCTGGCTCCTGGCTCCTGGCTCCTGGCTTCAGATCAGTGCAGCTCTGGCAGCTGTGGTCACTTGGGGAGTGAATCACCTGATGGAAGATTTTTCTCTCTGTCTCTCCTTCTCTCTGTATATCTGACTTCGCAATAAAAAGAAATGTTTTCTTTTTTAAAAGAAAAAGATGCAGTTTTGCAAAAAGGTAGCATTTTATGTTCCCACTAGTGAGTGTCTGTAGTTCCTCCAAATTCTTACAACTCCTGATGTTCCTAAGCCAAATTTAGCCATCCCAACAGGCATGTAGTTGTTTCACATTATAAAATGCTAAAATGCAGATTTTTTAAAGATTTGCTTTATTTGAAGGGAAGAATGACAGAAAGATTTTCTAACTAAGGTCTGCTCTCCAAACATCCACAATAGCCAGGGCTGGGCCCGCCCCAAGGTAGGAGCCCTGAGCTCCATCCAGGTCCCTGACATGAGTGCCCGGGCCCAAGCACTTGTTTTATTGTACGCTGCCTTTGCAGGTGCATCAGCAGGAAGGTGGCCCAGAAACAGAGCAGCAGGAACCAGAACTGGCCCTCTTATGGGACGCCAGCATTGTAGGCAACATAACACAGGTCCCAAAATACAGAAGTTACATTTGGTGATAAATCAGGCCCCTGTGTTTATTGGCCATATGTCTAGCTTTCATTCCATCCAAACGTGCTATTTTTCAGTTGGGTTGCCTTTTTCTAATCCAATTGTAAGAAGGCCTCCTATATCCTGGATGTATGTATATTTTGCATATGCTATGGTTTGTCTTTTCCTTGGCTGTGACTACAAAGGGGTAAAGTTTCATTTTTCAAAACACGCCATCAATTTTTTGCTTTCTGTATTGTTAGGAATCTGTGCTTACCTCACAATGACAAAGATTTTCTGCTATGTTTTCTTCCTAGTTGATATCTTCAGCTTTTCTATTTGAAGTCAGTGGTCCATTTAGGGTTCGTTTGTGTAGGTGTGGACTTCTGTAGGGCTGAAGATAGTTTTTTTTTTTTTAATAGTTTGAGCCACGGGGGAGGGAGGCAGTGTCAGTGATGTCAGATGCTTCAGAGATGCAGAACCATGTGTAGGAGGAGGAGCTGAAAGGTGGGCGGGCCCACGGGTGGAAGGATCCACGTCAGTCAGGAGAAATGGGCGGGCACAGGAGTTAGGTATCAATGATGGAGGCAAAGCAAAGGGACCCAGACCACGCGGGAAGGACTGCTGGTAACCTGGGGGGAATCCAATATCCACTCAGATTTGAGCCCAGGAAGGAAAAAAGGGCAGAAGGAACGTTGAGGTTTAGATCTGAGAGCCGCCAAAAGGAGACGGAGTTGACCTTTTCAAACCCCATCTGAGCTTCGTTAAGCTGGCATAATCATTTCCCAAATGATAAGTGTGCCCAGAGAAGCTGTCATCTGGTGCCCATCACGTGGTAGGCAGGGTCTCCCTACCCACGTTAGCTTCCCTGGAGCCAGGGACTGCGACGTTTGGAACTACACTTCCCAAGATGCATCGGTGGCCGGCTTCCCGTTGGTGGCTGAGACGCGCTATCCGGTAGTCCCTCCTTTTGCCGGGTCCTAGGAGGACCCAGGCCTTCCACCGGGGCGACATGCAACCCAAGCTGGCGGCGTTATGGTACCGGCGGATGTCTGTGGTCTACGCGGTGGGCGCCTGGACCGTGCTGGGCTCGGTGTATTTGCTCAACCGCAAGAGGAAGTTAGCAGGTAGGGCTCTCCGCCGGCACCTGCCCTTGGACCCGCTCTGGTACAGGTGGTGGGGAGGCTTCTTGTGGGCCCTAAACCTCACGGTAATTCTGCAGAGCCGTCAGTGGCCAGGTCAGACCTGAGCCAAGCCGGGACGGGCTGAAAGCTGGAGTCCTGTGGAGAGGGCAGGGACCGTGGGCGCCGCCTCTCACCTCCGAATGCTGGAGCCCGGAGCGAGCGGGGAATCACACCTGGGCATCTCACCCGCTCAGCTGCACGCGTGCCCTCCCACGCCGAATCCGGTTCAAGAACCCTTGTTGCAAGCAAAAGCTTACAGGACTTTCAGCAGCGAAGAAGTAGGAAAATCTTCCTGTCTTTTGGAACTCTGTAGAAACAAGGAGTTGAGTGGGTGTTATGAATGTATGGAAAACATCTTAATACCACAGTGGTTATGTTTTTTTTTTTTAAATCTTTAATTTTCTGTAATAAATCCGTTCTTTTTTTTTTTTTTCTTTCTAAGATGATAAAGTGGAACAAAAGGAGGTCCCAGCACCAGAAGCTTCCTCTCCAACAAGTGAAATCTTGGAGCCTCCTAAAGGGTTTTACGTGGAAACGACTATCACCTTTCGGGAAGATTTTGTTCCAATCACTGAAAAAATCCTCAATTATTGGAAATCATGGACTGGTGGCCGTGGCCCAGGGTCATGACCCGCTGTTGGACTCTGAAAAGCAGAACTTGGGTTCAGCGTTGAATCTTGATAAATGGTTTGATTTCCATTTTGTTTGTGTAAAGCACCCACTGTAATTTTTCTGTAAAAATTATAATTACTCATTGGGTGCCATGGGTGTTCCCTCGAGAGACTGGACAGGGAGGGTTCCTCTGTATGCGCTAGAGTGGGAGGCTGACATGCAACTGCACACTAAGCCTCCATTGGCCAGTTTTCGGGAACTGGCGACAGCCGCTCTGTGCTTGCATTAGACCCCATCTTAGTGAGCCCGTTAAGGTTAGAGGCAGCACATTTCCATGCTGCACTCGGGATGTACAGCTGCAATCTGGGTCCTGCATAAGAGGGTTCCATATGAGGTCGTGACTCCTGAATTGTACCGATGTGGTCTGTTCTTCGGGACCAGAGCAGACACTCCATGTTTCTCCAGCGGGTTTGGATGGCAGGCCGCCTGTGGGTGCTGGGAGTGCTGAGTCAGGACAACCGTGTAACTGCCTCACAGTCTCTGGGCTGGTCATCCCGGCTTGCAGGCAGCAGACTCACCAGGTGAGCTTGCTTCGAAAGGGGATCCTTACGAGCAGGGTGTTGCAGCAGCTCAGGATGAAGGCTCAGCGTGGTGGGCTTTGCACACGGCCTGCTATTAGGAACCACAATGTGAATACCACGCAGAGCCTGCCTGGCTGGCCTGCCTGGCTGGCCTGCCGCTCTTCAGCTGGTTTTCCTCCCTTTCTGTAGCTCCTACACACAGCCTACTCCTTCACAGCTATGAATGCAAAGCTCATCTGCCTCTGCTCTCCCCAGCACAGTGTTGGCCAGATACAGACTGCCTCACCTCGGCATTTGCTAGTGGGTGCTGTAGCCTGGCTAGGCCAGGCCCACGCCCAATTCCAGTTCACATTGGTGGGGCTACAGCCTAGCCCAGCTGTGCCAGCCCCTAGTCCTGCCCTCATGTGGACTGGCTGATATTGTGTCCTGATTCAGCCTGACCCACACTCCATTCTGGCACTTGGAATTGCCAGTTGGTGATATGGACTGACCCAGCCTGGCCTGCTCCCGACCTGTGCCAAATGTATGCCAGTGGGTACTGTATTTTGGCTTGGTCTGGGCTGCTCTCTGTCTTGGCTCTTGTACTCACCTGCAGGGAGTGTGTCCCCAGAGAAGAGTTCCCCAGGCTCCTCCATCCAGATCTCTCCCAGTGCCAGATCTCGCACACCGGTGGGTCCATGAGCCAGCCCTACTTAGTCCACCACCTGTCCCACAGGAACAGTGGTCTTTCCTAACCGGCCCTCACCCATTTCAGTTCTTGTTGGGTACTACAGCCCAGCCAAGCCTGGTCCATACCCAGACACAGCTTACGCATGGCTCAGCAGAGGCAGAGACCTAGCCTAGGCCGTCCTACACCCACCCTGGGTATTTTTTTTTTAATTTAAGATTTATTTATTTTGAGGGCCCAGCACAATAGCGTAGCGGTTAAAGTCCTCGCCTTTAACGCACTGGGATTCCATATGGGCATTGGTTCTAATCCCAGCAGCCCCACTTCCCATCCAGCTCCCTGCTTGTGGCCTGGGGAAGCAGTCGAGGACGGCCCAAGGCCTTGGACCCTGCACCCGCATGGGAGACCCAGAAGAGGCTCCTGGCTCCTGGCTTAGGATTGGCTTAGCTCCAGCCGTTGTGGCCGCTTGGGGAGTGAATCAGCAGATGGAAGATCTTCCTCACTGCCTCTCCTTCTCTGTATACCTGCCTTTCCAATAAAAATAAATCTTAAAAAAAAAAAATCCCTGAAAGTGGTTGCTGAGGAAGGAGGAAAATGCATTTCAGTTCATAGTTGTGGGAGTCCACAGCCCAAGGTGGGGCAGCTCCATTGGTGTGGTGTCTGATGAGGATGGTGGAGAGTGGGATATCACGTGGTGATGGTGGGGGAGGAGGTCAGAGAGACAGAAACTAGCCAGCCCTCTCACCTCCGATGGGTCATAAACCCAGTAAGCCATCACCCATAAATGCAAGACTGTGGGGACCAACCCCTCAGGACGGAGGCCCCTGGGGGACATGCAGACCACTCCACAGACCACAGCACTGCTCTTGCTGCTGTCTTTTTTCTCAGCTGATACTTGGTCAGTCAGGACCCTGTTACTCTAGACCTCTCCTTCACTCTCCCATCACAGGCCCCATCATTTCCAGTCAAGTACTGGCAAGCATCCCTGCAGAATGGGGGTAAGTGCTGAGAACTGCATCATGGGGTCTTTCTCTACACTGCCTTATACTTCCTTAAGTATGCATTTGGACGCAAACCTATACAGCAGGTTACTAAACTGAATATATATGTATATGCATGAGAGCTACTTATTTTTATTTGAAAGGCAGATCTACAGAGAGGAGAGACAGTCTTCCATCCACTGATTCATTCTCCAAATGGGCAAAACAGCTGGAGCTGGGCTGGTCTGAAGTCAGGAACCTGGAGTTCCCTGCAGGTCTGAGCACTAAAGCTATCTTCTGCCGCTTCCCCAGCCATGAGCAGAGAGCTGGACTGGAAGAGGAGCAGCCAGGACATGAACTGGTGCCCACATGGCACCACAGGCAGAAATTTAACCTACTACCTCATGTCACTGGCCTCACTAAACTGAGTGTTACAGGCAATTATAACACAATGGCGTTTGAAAAGGTATATTCATATATTTGTGCATTGTGTGATCTATATCTTTCATGCATAGACAGAGACTGAGAGCTCCCACATGCTGGTTCAGTCCTTAGGTGCCCACGTGGCCCTGGGCCGGGCAGAGCCCGAGCAGCGGGAACTCAGCCATCTGGGTTTATTTTCATGAGAAAGACATCAGATTTATGGAGAGAAGGAGAGACAAAGATTTTTCATCTGCTGGTTCACTCTCCAAATGGTTGCAATGGCTGGAGCTGAGTCCATCCAAAGCCAGGAGCCAGGAGCTTCTTCCTAGTCTCTCATGTGGGTGTAGGGTCCCAAAGTTTTGGACCATCCTCGACTGCTTTCCCAGGCCACAAGCAGGGAGCTGGATGGGAAGTGGAGCAGCCAGGATACAAACCAGCACCCGCGTGGGATTCCAGCGCTCGCAGGGTGAGGATTTAGCCATAGAGTCTGGGTCCTCATTTATCATTTTTAAGTCTATAAAGGGATCTTAGGTCAATATATTTGGACACACTGACTTAATGGAAAAAAGATTTAGATCTTAGGCGCTTCCTGCTGGTCTTCCGACATGAGTGGCAGGGGCTCAAACGCTTGGACCTGTCTCCACTGCTTTTCCCAGGCCGTTAGCACCAGAGTTAGATCTGAAGTGGCGAAGCAGGGGCTGTTATCCATGCTCACAAGTGATGCAGGTGTAAGCCACAGTGTTACAGGAAGAATCAATTCTACAATGGAAACCTATTTACTATCATGAAATGGCCAAGACAGATTAATAAGTTACTTGGCTTTTTCAGGCAGCTGACCCTTTTGTGGTCTAATATCTGACAAGCCTCCGGGACAGCAAGAATTTGGGACAGTCTGGGGACAGACGAATAGAAACAGGAAGAGCAGAGTTAGCAATGGGACTTAGGACAAAGCTGGGGTTTAGTCGCCATTGGGGAACAAGGACAGGGCGTGGGGGCGGAGCATGGGGCGGGGCTACGGTTAGGCGGCGCGGGCGCGGCCCGTGTGGGCGGGGTTGACGGTCGTGGGCGGGTTGGGAGCCCCGCCGGGGGTGGGCGTGGCCGACCGGGGCTGACGGGACCGCCGCGCGCACTTCCGGGTGTCACCCCCAGAGGGCGCCTGCCGCAGAGCCGCCCGCGAAGGCCGAGGCCGCACGGAGCTCGGCGCCGCCATGAAGGCCGTGGTGCAGCGCGTCACCCGGGCCAGCGTCACAGGTCAGTGAGGCGGCTCCGGGGCCCCGCGACCGGCAGTCTCACCTGGGGGACCCCCTTTCCTCGCTGTCCTCGGGAGCCGAAGAGCGCCCTCGTCGTCGGTGCCTGGTCGGCCCCGGCGCGGCCCGCGACCCACTCTCTCTCCCGCCTGGGGTCCTTGTGCACCTGCGAGCATCCCCTGGCCATGTGCACGAACACGCGCGGGGAGCGTTCCCCGAGGAGGAGCCCCGCCGGTTGCCGCTCTCGGTTTTAAATGCTCCATTTGGCCCAGTTTGCCAGGAGCCTGATGCCCGGCCGGTGAGACGCACGGGCGGCCAGCATGCCTCACGTGACCAGCGCCCACCACCCTGCTGACACACAACACTACCCAGCCCCCCGGCCTGGACGCCCAAGAATTCAAGACGAAATAGTACTCCCAGCCCCCCGTGATTTCCTGGGCATCAAGAAATGCCCAGCCATTATTCATCCCTTTGCGTTCTGTTGGGTGCTTGAGGCACGGGTCTAGCCGATGGGTAGAGAAACTTGCAGTCATTTCAAAAACCCAGGTCACGTAGAAAGACGAATGTTGAAAAATTTGAGTGACGAGTTTTGTCTTCCTGAAAATTTTATGGCTGGGATTGTTTCCATTCAGATCGTTCCAGTTACCTTCCCCTTTCAAAGTGATCTGTATCAAGCATGCCTTCTTGTGTCCACAAAGTGTAACCTACACGCAAAGGAGAATACCCTCAACAAACCATGTCATATGGAGGCCTGACGTCCGTTGGTCCTCCCTGTCCCTCTGCCTCCCTTCGGAATTACAGAGAGGGATAGAGAGAGCTGTTTCACCTGCTGATCCATTCCCAAAAGGCCACAGCTGCTGGGGTTGGGCACATTGAAGCCAGGAGCCGGGAGTGCCATTATGGTCCCGATGTGGGTGAAAGGGATCTGAACCCTTGGGTCCATATATCTATGACTTACTGTCCAGTAGAAACCAACAGCAAGGAAATGACGAAGAGGACGTTTTTATTACTGAGTGGAATGTCAGCTCAGTGCATGAATAATAAGACACAGTAAGAATGCTTGGCAAGAAGTTGGCACAGACACTCAAAAACCATCTTGAGCTCCATTTGAAATATGGGGTTCAGTTCACCCTACCGTGAGGAATCTCGGCCCAGGTACCAGGCCAGCATATGAGGTACTGTCTGAGGGTAATGGGATACGTATCTGGCTAAGCACCCAGATGCGAGCAGTGTGTGCCCAAAGATGTATTCTGTGGGTGACAGTCCTGGTTTGCACAGCTTTGGACAGCCCTGGCTCCCTAGGTAACCTTGCTACCTAGCCGGGGCACGAGAGTAGTGTGCTGAGGCAAAGCTTAGACGTGCAGCCCAGTCTGTATGCAGCCGTCTCTCTCTGGGCTGCAGCAAGAAGGAAACGCATCACTTTTTCTGTTTTGTGCTGCTTGTGTCATATTTTGAGCTTTGCTGATTTCCAAAAAGCATGGAACTCTCCTTTATGAGAATTGATGATGTTGAACAGGGTTCCCCAGGGGAAGAAAAGCAGTGTTATTTTTTTTTTTTTTTGGTGGACACACGCTCAATTGTGGGAAGTTTCAGGTGTCTCACCCAAGGTGACGCGGGTAGGATTGCCGTGTGCCAGTTCTTTGCTCGGCAGCTCTCGTCCTTTCCCAGCCTTACGTGGCGTGGGTGGATGTTAGTGACCTTGCATGGCATTCTGGACTCCTCTCAGTTTTCTGTGCCCAGCGATGTGAAGTGCCGGGGTTGTGAGGCAGCTCTGTGGCATGGAAGGCCTTCCTGTAGGTACCTGTGGGCGTTTCCCAGTTTCTTCTGCCTTGTGCTTCCTTGCAGTTGGAGGTGAGCAGATCAGCACCATTGGACGGGGCCTCTGTGTGCTGCTGGGAATTTCTTTGGAAGACACACAGAAGGAACTGGAGCACATGTAAGATGCCTCTTTTTCTTTGTTCTTCTTAATGTATTATTTGTTTTGAAAATCAAAGTTAGAGAGGGAGAGACAGAAAGAGGCAGAGAGAGGGAGAGATCTTTTATTTGTTGGTCACTCTCCAGCTGGCCACCGCAGCCAGGACCAGGCCAAGTCCAAACCAGGAGCAGGGCCTTTGTCTGCATCTCCCATTTGGGTAGCAGATGCCTAAACACTTGGGCCATCGTTCACTGTTATTCTCAGGTACCTTTGCAGGGAGCTGGATTGGAAGTGGAGCAGCTGGGACGTGAACCAGTGTCCATTCTATGCCACCACACCGGCCTTTGGATTGCCCTCTCTCAGTCCCTGAGTTGGAATGGGGTATATGGTGACCATGCTGGGACTCCCATAGTGCTCTGTGTTTGGGTGAGCTCTGTGTCTGTCTCCTTGATCTATTGTCCAGTTTCAGATCTGGATACTGAAAGGTAGTCTGAAAACTTGCCCTGCTCGGACAGTGATGGGGAAAGAGGAGGCCCGTTTAGTTTCCATTCTGATTGGCTCCTCCTGGTGAGGACTGGGTCTCTTTTTCTTTTAATGCAAAAGCTCAGCTTCTTTTCCTATACGTGCTTTCTCTTTTAAATTTGGACACAAAGTGATCTGGGTACTTTTTCTCCACCCCTCTCTTTCTCTTTCTTTCTTTTTTAAAATTAAGATCTATTTCTTTTACTTGAAAGAGTTACAGAGAGAGGGGAAGACAGAGAGAGAGAGATTGAGATTTTCCATTTGCTGGTTCACTCTCCAAATGGCCCCTATGGCCAGTGCTGGGCTGGTTCAAGGCTAGGAGCCTAGAGCTTCTTCCCAGTCTCCCACGTGGTTGCAGGGACCCAAAGCCTTGGATCATCCTTTGTGGCTTTCCCAGACCATGAACAGGGAGCTGGACCGGAAGTGTAGCAACCATAACACGGACTGGCACCCATATGGATGACAGTGCTTGCAGGTAGAGGATTAGCTTACTATGTCACCATGCCAGACCTGATCTGTGCACTCTATTGGCTTTTCCAAATGCCCAGTTGTACATGTATGCCTAAGAACTTGGACCGCATAGACAAACCCCTGCTGCAGGTCCTGCCCACCCACTCGGCCAGAGGCCTGAGGCTGACCTGGAATATGGGCTGTCTGACCTTGAAGCAGGTGCTCTGGTTACTGAGGTCAGGCATTTGCCATTGCTGCTGTGTGCTTGGCTCTCTTGGTCAGCCCCTTCTGTGCTCTCCTTGCTCCTCAGCCCTTCTTGGACATTGACTTGAGATGCTACAAGCTGTTTATGCTGCCCCTGGGGCCTCGGACTCTGTTGTCCTTTAAATATATATATTTAATTGGAAAGACAGATTTACAGAGAGAAAGAGAGAAAGAGAAAGATCTTCCATCTGTTGGTTCATTCCTTAAGTGACCACAACGTCTAGAACTGATCTGACATGAAGCCAGGAGTCAGGGGCTTCTTCTGGGTCTCTCACACGGGTGCAGGGTCCCAAGGCTTTGAGCCATCTTCTGCTGCTTTCCCAGGCCATAAACAAGGAGCTAGATAGGAAGTGGAGCAGCTGGGACGCAAATCGGCGCCTATATGGATCCAGGTGGATGCAAGGCAAGGATGTAGTCACTAATCTATTTTGCCGGGCCTTCCGCTGTCCTTTTGTACGAGATAGGAAGTCAGCCGTGGGACCTCATTCTCCATGAGGTGGTGGTCACTGACAAGGACAGTGCTGTGTCACTGCAGCAGTGCTGCCAGGTTCTTAGCTGTCCCTGGACACACAGCAGAGGGGGCAGTGCTTAGACACAGGGCTTTGGGTCTGATCTTTGTGACTGTAGTAGAGATGGGTCAGAGATGTGACTCAACGTAAGGCAGTCCTGGCTGTGGTGTGGGGGTGATGCGTGGTGCCTGGCACAGAGGGCGCCTGGGGGATAGGAGCCATCGAGTCCTTGCACACAGACACTTGTCCAGGCAGGCTTTCAGCTGTTAGGCAGGTGATTTTTCACCGTGCTTCTCAAGGCTGAACTTGTAAACTCGGCCTGGGCCGCTTCCCTGCCAAGGGGGCTATGTCATTATCCATGCGATGGAGAGAGCTGCCCTCTGGCTTGGGGAGCAGGTGAGAGTTGTCAAGGTGCCTTTTTCCAAATGTTTTTTTTTTACTTAGTAGTGGTAAGTTTTCCCGCAGAGTACTAGCTGGATCGTTCGTTTGGAGTAGCTCCGAGAAAAGGTGTAGAAATGGACTCTCAGGATCTCTGTGCTAAGACTGAATTCTTCAAAGGCAGCACAATAGCTCAACTGGCTAATCCTCTGCCTGCAAGTGCCAGCATCCCGTATGGGCACTGGTTCATATCCTGGCTGCTCTACTTCCTATGTGGCTCTCTGCTAATAGGCTGGGAAAGCAGTGTAGGATGACCCAAGGCCTTGGGTCACTGCACCCATGTGGGAGACCTGGAAGAAGCTCCTGACTCCTGGCTTCAGATCAGCTCAGCTTTGGCCATTGTGGTTATTTTGGGAGTGAGCCAGCAGATGGAAGATCTTTCTCTCTGTGTCTCTCCTCCATTCTGTAAATCTGACTTTCCAATAAAAGTAAATAAATCTTAAAAAAAAAAGATTGAATTCTTCCATGGAAGATTAACAGCGGGCCCCTGTTTTGACACGTCTTGCACTTTGAAGGGCTCCCCCTCCCATTCCTATAGCCATCACGACCCAGAAGGACTGGTAGGAAAGGGGGAAATCCCCAAATCATTCCAGGAGATAGGACTTCTATGTTACAGATGGGAAAACTGTGCCTTGGGCTGGTCGAATAACTCTGCTAAGGTCGTTCCTCTGTAAGCCACGCAATCATCATCATTATGTTCCTGTTTTGTACAATTCCTGGGATGTGTATTGAGGGTGTTTTATCCTTTGGGTTCCTCCCACCACTATTTCTACCCCTGTAGGGTCCGAAAGATCTTAAACCTGCGCGTGTTTGAGGATGAGAGCGGGAAGCACTGGTCCAAGAGCGTGATGGACAAGCAGTACGAGGTGCTGTGCGTCAGCCAGTTCACCCTGCAGTGCGTGCTCAAGGGCAACAAGCCTGACTTCCACCTTGCCATGCCCTCAGAGCAGGCGGAGGGCTTCTACAACAGCTTCCTGGAGAAGCTGCGGAAGACATACCGGCCGGAGCTCGTCAAAGGTAGGCTGAGGGTGGCTGCCCCAGGAGTGGAGGACCGAGTCAGCTGGAGGCGCGGTGTCTCCTTCCCGGGAGAATTGTTGTTGATGCTCATGACTTGTTTCACTCTAACTGTGGTGGCTGCTGCTGTCTTGCTAAACGCTGCCCCATGGTTGTGCCTGGCACACTGTGACAGTCTGCAGTAATCTAGCACTGGGTCCCATACAGTGATGTCCCTTTGATTGCTTCGTCAGCCATGTGGAAGACAAATTTACTGTGAGCCTCAGTAGGAGCCATAATGTCCTTTAATTTGTATGTACATATTTTTAGCTTTATTTATTTTTATTGGAAAGGCAGATTTATAGAGAGAAGGAGAGACAGAGAGGCAAAGATCTTGTTCATCTGCTGGTTCACTCCATGAATTGCTGCAGTACCTGGGGTTCAGCTGATCCAAAGCCAGGAGCTTCTTCCAGTTCTCTCAAGGACTTGAGCCATCCTCTGCTGCTTTGCTAAGCTGTATTTGGGGAGCTGGACCACATGTGGAGCAGCTTGGATTAGAACTGATGTCCTGGACTGGCATGGTAGTCTAAATCCTTGGCCTATACCCACCTGGATTCTATATGGGGACTGGTTCATATCCCAGCTGCTCCACTTATTATCCAGCTTCCTGCCTGTGGCTTGGAGAGCAGTTAAGGACAGCCCAAAGCCTTGGGATGCTGCACCCATGTGGGAAACCTTGCAAGAAGCCCCTGGCTTCAGATTGGCTCAGCTCCTGCTGTTGCAGCCACTTGGGGAGTGAACCAGCAGGTGGAAGATCTTCTCTCTGTCTCTCCTTCTCTCTATATAGCTGCCTTTCCAACTTAAAAAAAAAAAACCCCACAATTCTTAATAAAAAAAAAGAATTGATGTCTGTATGGGACTCCGACACTGCAAATAGCAGGATCAGCCTGTTGAGCCACTGTGCCAGCACTTGTCCTTTAATTTTTTGCAGCTGTATTAAAGAAGTAAAAAGGAACAGATGAAGTTAGTTTTGAAAAGGATTTATTTATTTATTTGACAGTCAGAATTGCAGAGACGGAGGGAAAGACAGATCTAACTGCTGGTTCACTCCCCAAATAGCTGCAATAGCTAGGACTGGCCAGGTGGAAGCCAGGAGCCAGAAGCTTCGACTGGGTCTCCTATGCAGGTTCTATCTTTTACTTTTCCCCCAGTATATTAGCAGAGTGCTGGATTGGAGAGCTATATATATATATAGAGAGAGAGATCTTTCAACCACTGATTTGCTCTTCAAATGGTGCAGTGCTCAGAATTGGGTGGGTCTAAAAGCAGGGGTCAGTAGCCTCATCTGGGCATTCCACATGGGTGCAGAAGGTTAAGTACTTGGGCCATCTTCTGCTGCTTCCCTGGGTGCATTAGCAGGGAGCTAGATCAGAAGTGGAGCAGCCAGACCCCCCTAGCAACCCTATGGGATGCTGGCCTTGTAGGTGGTGGCTTTCTGTGCTGACCTTGTGGTCTGAGGCCTCATATTTCTTTTCAGTTTTGCTTTTATAACTGAAACTTTATTTTGCATTTCTGGTTAGTTTTTCCTATTTATTGTGAAGTCTGAGTAGAGAGAAGATCGTTGTCACTTTGGTTTCTTCTCTGCATTCCTTGTCACCTCCACCCAGGGCATGCATGGTTCTGGCATTCCCTTTCCAGTCCCAGTTCTTCCTGCACAAACCCAGTGATAGGTGTTTGGCTGCGCAGCAGAGCCTCCTGTCTTGGTTCCTGTTTGTTGTGGTCTCCATGGTGATATTATCCCGAGTCGTTTCTTGGTTCTGTGTGGACTAGGAAACCTGGAGGACAAAGTCATTACTGTGTTGTCCTCAAATACTCTCAAAATTGTGGTTATTATCATTGTGTGACCTACTGGGGAACCCCATCTGGGCTTTGTATGTTTCAGGCCTTTTACAAAGTAGATCTCTCCATTCTTTATCTTGTTGAATCCCTTTTTCCCCTTTTTAAATTAAAAATTCATTTATTTATCTTCATTTTATTTGAAAGCTGGAAAGAAACACACAGAAACAGAGATAGCTCCCATCTGCTCTTTCACTCCCCAGATGTCTGTAACAGTTGGGCCTGGGCCAGGCTGCTTCCAGGAGCCAAGATTTCAATCTGAGAGTCTCATGTGGGTGAGATGTTAAGAAGAGCGGTCAAAATACTGCTCACAATGTGCACGTGTTGTAGCCAAGCACTCAGGTTCAAGTTCGGCCTCTGTTCCAGATCAAGCTTCCTGCTCATATCCACCCTTGCAGGCACATGATGGCTCAAGGGCTTGGCTACCTGCCACCAAGTCAGGATTTTAGGACAAGGCCATATAGCATCCCATAGCAGAAACAATTCTATAGCTTTGTATTCAATCTTGGTTCCAGGGCGAAGGAAGATCTGGCCTCCAGCTGTGCCGCTCTCTTCTCTTTAACCTGGTGTCCATCCAGAACCCTGGCGAATGTCCTTGAGCGTGGCTGAGTAGGTAGGAGAGGCCAGGAGGCCTGACAGATGCAGATGGGAAGCAGAGGAGGCGGACAAGGCAGGAGGTGGGGAATGTTCTAGAGCAGCACAAAGCGCCATGGAGCTGAGGCAACAGCAGTGGCGGACATCTCAGTTTCAAACACTGCCCATGTGCTGGATGACCTTGACCTTGCCCAGGCCCTCCCAGCTGCTCATGCAAACAAAACTCTCCGCGAGCCATGAGACCACCTGTAGCTCTTGCTTCACAGTTAGCTCTTAATTTCTATGGATTTGTTTATTTTTCTACTCTTTTTATACTTAAATCATGTTAGCAATGTGAGTGAACTTTCCATTTTGTGTACTTTGGCAAGGACTGTGATGTCAAGGCCTGATTACATTTTTTTAAAGCTTATTTGAGAAGGAGAAAGAGGGAGAGACATAGGCGGAGAAATGGGGAGAGGGAGGGAGAGATGAGAGACATAGAGAGAGAACTGTCCGAGCTCCTGTCTGCTGGTCTGTTCCCTTAATGCAAACGGCAGCTGGGGGGCCCAGCCAGGAGCTCCGGCCAGGTCTGTCCAGGTCTCCCACGTGCTGTCAGGGCACCTGTCTCTCAGTCGTCAGTGCTGCCTCCCAGAGACGACATCAGCAGGAAGCAGGAGCCCAAGCTGGGAATTGCACACAGGTGCTTTGGCGTGGGACAGGCATGTTCTAACCTGTGGCTTAGCCACTTGGCCAAATGCCTGCTTCAGAAAACATGGTTGTTGTCTGTTTGTTTTGTTTTTAAAGATTTATTTATTTTTATTGGAAAGGCAGATGTACAGAGAAAAGGAGAGGTAGAGAGAAAGATCTTCCATTTGCTGGCTCACTCCCAAGTGGCTGCAATGGCTAGAGATGAGCCAATCCAAAGCCTGGGTCCAGGAGCTTCCTCTGGAGCAGCAGGGTTCATGTCCAGCAGGCACGCTTCCCATCCAACTCTGCTTGTGGCCTGGGAAAGCAGTCAAGGATAGCCCAAAACCTTGGAACCCTGCACCCACATGCGAGACCTGGAAGAGGCTCTGGGCTTCGGACCAGCACAGCTCTGGCTGTTGCGGTCACTTGGGGTGTGAATCAATGGCCGAAAGATCTTCCTCTCTGTCTCTCCTCCTCTCTCTATATCTGACTTTCCAATGAAAATAAAATAAATCTTTGAAAAAAAACCTCTCTAGTTGGAGTTAATCTGTGTATGTGGGGTGAGGTCAGGGTCTAGTGGCACACGTTGTGGCTGGACGTCCAGGCATCCCGTGACTGTTGAAAAGTGTCCTCTTAAAATTAACATCAAGTGACTACGTGTAAATGTACAGGCTTATTTCTGAGTCTGTGCACTCTCTGTATCTATTATGCCAGAACTATGTGTTTTGATTATTGTAACTTCATAGTGAGTTTTGAAGTTAGGCAACGTGAATCCTTCAGTTTTCCCATCCTTTTGTAGTGGATGGTATGATCAGGTCACGCAGACGTCAGATGCTAGAAGGTCCACACTGGGAAGTGTGCCTCTTATTTTACCCCCATCCAACTAATTTCTCATGTTTCCTAGAAGTAATCATTTTGGTTAGTTTTTTCATAGTAGAAAACTATGAGCAAACATGAATCTGTGATTTATTCAAAAGGTAGCATGTGACACTCTGTTTGACTTTTTCTTTATTATTAAATTGATGGTGTGTCCCAGAGATTCTTGCACGTCTCTTCATTTTAACAGTTCTTGCGCGTTCTTTGCCTGGGCGTGGGTGGCCTGGGCTGGCCGACTTAGTACTTGTGCTACTTCGTTCAGAGCCTGTTCCCATTGTGCGCCTTTTTTTTTTTTTTAAGATTTATTTATTTTTATTGCGAAATCAGATATATACAGAGAGGAGGAGAGACAGAGAAGATCTTCCGTCCAATGATTCACTCCCCAGGTGGCTGCAACGGCTGGTGCTGTGTTGATATGAAGCCAGGAGTCAGGAACTTTTTCCAGATCTCCCATGCAGGTCCCAAGGCTTTGGGCCATCCTCAACTGCTTTCCCAGGCCACAAGCAGGGAGCTGGATGGGAAGTGGAGCCGCCGGGATTAGAACCGGCACCCATATGGGATCCTGGTGCGTTCAAGGCGAGGACTTTAGCTGGTAGGCCATTGTGCCAGGCCCAACGTCTTTTTTTGTCTTTGGGTACCAGGGGTGCAGTAGATGTATTTGTATGTAGGCTACTTCACGTGCTGGCAGATCCACCCATGGGAGAGGGATTGTAAGAAGCAGCCACTGCCTCACTGCTTGCCACATACTATATTTAAACTGTTAAAGTTTTGCCCATCTGACATATTTCACTCATATTTTTCTACAGATGTCTACAGATATTGTATTTTTTGTTTGTTTTATTTTTAAGATTCTCTAAAAGGTAGACTGGCAGAGAGAGGGAAAGAGACAGATACATCTTGCATGTGCTGGTTTGCTTCTCAGATGGGTGCAAAGGCCAGGTCTGGTCCAGAATAAAACTAGGAAATCTGGAACCCTGTGCGGGTCTGCCATG